CCAAGAACGAGCACGGTGCAAGAGGACTATCAGAGAGGCAAAACGAGCCTCCTGGAAGTCTTTCCTTTCGCAACTCAACTATCGTACCCCTCTGAGTAAAATATGGAACTTGGTACGCTCTCTGTCGGGCAAGAGAAGTTTCACGTCTCTCCCAATTTTACACGTCAATAACACAAATATTACAGAACCAAAGGAAATTGTTAACACAATCGCACAAACCATAGCCCATCATAGTGCATCACGTCACTACAGGCCAGGATTCATCGATTATGTTCAAAGACAGTCTCGCCTTCCACCACATGCATTTGTATCCGATAATATAGAGCAATACAATGATATATTTTCCTTATCGGAACTTCGAAACGCCATACAGTCCACTGGGAACACCTCTGTCGGCCCAGACCAGCTACATTATCAGTTCTTTCGCCACCTTCCGGATTCTACCCTACACTTTATTTTGCAAACATTTAATGATTTGTGGACAAAACAGGCATTTCCAGAAGCATGGAAGGAAGCAGTTGTTATTGCACTTCTTAAACCAGGAAAAAGCCGTAAAGATCCAAACAACTACCGTCCAATTTCTTTGACTAGTTGTTTTGGAAAGATATTCGAACGAATGGTTGGGAAACGTTTAGAATGGTTTCTGGAGAAAAATACATTGTTATCAAAATATCAAAGTGGCTTCAGGAAAAATCATAGTACATTAGATCACATAATCCGCCTTGAAACAGACATCCGCAAGGGTTTTAAGTTTAAAAAACACACCACTGCTGTCTTTTTAGATATCACCCGTGCTTACGACACGGTACATCGGCCAACACTTCTACGCAAACTTCACAATCTCGGTTTACGCGGACATCTCGCTTGGTATTTAGTTGGCTTCCTAACAGGTGCTCGTAGTTTTCAGCTGCGTTTTCGCTCCATCTTCTCAGATGCTTTCTCTTTCGAAAACGGTCTACCGCAGGGAAGCTGCTTGTCACCTATGCTCTTCAATATAATGATAAATGATATATTTAACTCTGTTCCTCAAGATATTCAATACTCATTATTTGCGGATGATTGCGCCATTTGGTGCACAGATGACGATTCGCAGTATTCTGTTCCCCGTCTTCAAAATATACTCAACAATCTCGATGAATGGTCCCGGCAGAATGGTTGCATATTTTCTCCAACGAAGTCTGCTGTCATGGTTTTTACAAAGAATACTAGAATGCTGGAGCCTTCACACTTACGTTTATCCGGACACATTATACCTCGTGTCAATTCATTCAAGTTCCTTGGCGTTGTATTAGATAATAGATTGTCCATGAGTAAACACGTCCAATATGTTAAAACAAAATGTACAAGGAGACTTAACTTATTCCGCTGTGTTGCTGGCACAGATTTTGGGGCTGACCGGCAAACACTTCTCCAATTATATAAGTCGCTCATCTTACCAGTAATTGAATATGGCTCTGTAGTTTATTCCGGAGGAAGCGACAACACTTTAAAGAAACTTGACACCATCCAAAATTCATTTATTAGGATTGCAACTGGCGCGATGAAAACTTCACCAATTCCATCCCTTCAAGTTGAGGCAACAATACCACCGTTACACCTTAGACGCATCGAACAGACTTTACGATTCAGTAGTAAAGTCAGATTTCACCCAGACCACAGCGCATTCAAAACACTTACCATTCTTCCATCAATTCACCACAATCGCTTAGGTCCCGCAGAGAAACGATCGGAACTCACCATTGCCTCTAGAATAAGGAAATTTTGTAACGAAATTAACTTCATTCAACCAAACATTCTTCCACTTCCAATACTGAACACCCCTCCATGGGTAGTCAGGTCTTGGAAAGTTTCATTTCTTATTGATTGCCCGAAAACACAAGTGACAGACACAGAAATACAACACAAGTTCCTTCAGACACAACAAGAATTTCCTACACATCATTTTATTTTCACGGACGGGTCCAAGTCGGGTGACCGCGTCGCAAACGCCGTCTTTGATCCCGTAGGAAATCATTCAATATCTACTCGCTTACAAAATGGAACTGGGATATTCATAGCCGAACTTCATGCCATAGTAAAAGCAATTGATTTGGTTAATGAAAAGTCTTGGGCACAAACTATGATCTGCACGGATTCACGATCTGTTGCTCAATCGCTAGAAGCTACATATCCAGCATCACCTCTTCTCATTCACATCTTTAACAAATTACATATATTGTCGAACAACAGAAAAAAGGTCCACTTTCTCTGGATACCAGGCCATAGCGGTATACACGGAAATACAAAAGCAGACGAACACGCCAAAAATGCCCTGAATCTTACAAGTATCACAAACATTCCTATGGAATACAACTCTATCAGAGCAAACATAAGACAGGCTATTTTTAGAAAATGGCAGGAACAATGGGTACAAATAACACAGCATACACAACTCAGACAGATAAAAGAAAAGATTGAAGTATGGCATACCGCAAAAAGGAATAATAGACATGAAGAAAGGATATTAGCAAGGATGCGATTGGGCCATACAAAATATACACATAACCATATATATACTCGAGACGCCCGCCCAAGGTGTTCACTATGTAACTGCGTACAATCAGTTCAACATATAATTATTGACTGCAGAAAATTCGACAATACAAGACAACGGATGCTCGATTATTGCAATCGAAGGAACATACAATTCACATTGGCTTCTGTTCTCGGCGATTCTGAAGAACCCTTGATTGATCTCCTCTTCGCATACCTTCGTGAAATTAGATTATTCGACAAACTCTCACTTAGACAATATGTAAATATACTCATCGATATTAGAATACATTGATGTTCACACATGGGCATGCAATGGTCATTTTGACCGAAATGCCACAAACACAAATAAATAAATAAATAAATAAATAAATAAATTAGGTTTATGTTATGATTGTCGCCTTTTTCTCAAAGGTTTTTTTGTGTTCATGACACCTACTGGACGGTGGACATTGTCATGCCGCTAATGGAAATGACGATATTTCCCAGGGTGGTATACATCCTTCTAAAATATTCAGTTTTTTTCCTTCCTCTCCGTATTTGCACCTCCTGGGAAAACAGCGATAGAGGGTGATATTTTTGTTTCCGTATAATTGTATAATGCACATTGAATTATGCGACCCAATAAAATTAAAGATGAGTTCCTATCACGTAATTAGATAACCGAACCCTGATTCGACGTGCATCATGTCATGTGACACCAATATATGTCGTCAGAATTATGTTAACAAGAATCGGAGAAAACCAGCATAGCTCTAATTGTATTACGGGAATCATAATAATGGCAAGCCATGTTATTTTCAGTAGTACTTGTCTATCCCTTAGTATTGCACTGAAAACAAAATGACACAAAAAACGACTAAAAACGCACAGGCAGAGCGTGTTAACTAAGCTTTCTTGTGTACCCTGCATCATGCATTTTTTGACCCGTCGCAGACGTGTCAATTTACAAATGTGTTAACCCAGTCGTGTTGTGTCCTAAAACACAATATCATTGTGTCTTCAACACATAAGGCTTGTGTGAATACATTTGCAGAATACAAGGTAAATGTGTTACTAAATTTAACAGAAATCGCAAGTGAAAGAAGGAAACACGTGGTGATTATGTAGTTTGTTACTGGGGCGCAGTTGAAGGGACTTTGGCTTTGGCTGGACAGGCTGACTGCCAAAGCCGGGCCCCGAGTGGAATCGGGCGCTCGGGTGCGGTCAGGGCTGAGCACCCGGCCGGCCGACCCATATGTTCAGGGCGGGCGCGGTCAGGGCTGAGCATGTGGCCGGCCGACCCATACGAGGCCGCCGACCCATACACGAGCTGGAGTTGCGCCCGGTCGGCCACGCCAGAGCCGAAGGGTGAACGCGCCACGTGGACGGCTCATTCTGAGCACCAAGCGAAGATGCCCCAATTTGGGGGACTACTGTATATATAATACAGTTGTCCAGACAGCCGGGATAAGGTTACGGCCACCGATTTTTCAAATATATCCTATATAGACCGAGGAGTTTCTTCCTCCAAGCAGACGTTAATTAGCTATGCTTCAGCTTGCACTTGATGTAATCAGCGAATATTGCTCTAGACAATTTATCATGTATCGACTCCCTCGGCTGTATTTTGCATTTTGACCTTTCTCAAAACACTTTGGCAAATTTTTACAAAAACCCAGCATAAAAGTCGGTGCTCGAAAAACGCCCTCTATTATCCCCATCTGAAGTTAAGGTTCAGAGGTCGCTCACTGGTGGATGACACGGTGTATTTGTGTAAGGGTACACGTCTACCATATCCGACAACACATGATTTCGATACACTGATGCATTACATTCGTCCAGCGTGCTTGGTACGAGAAAATTGTGTCATTATTCTGTTTTATGTGTTATCAAACGTGTCGAAGGTCCCGCCAAGCGTGAAAATACACAGCCTTATTGTGTTTTGGGTGCGATTAACACATGACTGATGTGTTACCAGTACAGAACATGCCCTCACTGTGTCGATTTGTTTTCAGTGTGCTGTTGGCTGATTATTCGACATCATATTTGTTGTAACGCAAATTTTCACCGCTTATGTTCTACCTATACTTGTCCTTGCCATCGTGTCGTATGAATGCCAATGATCCTTTCCGGGAGCCTACAACTAATAGGGCTGAATTGTAGTTTGTTTTTGTGTTCTGTTGTAGTCTGTAGTCTGTTTGTGTTCATCGTCTTTCTCAATTCTTTCTGTGTCTGAATTGTTTTTTTTTTTATCTACCTTGCACTTTATTTACCATTGCTTGAAAAATACCTATATGTCACTTAGCTCATGTTTTACTTTCTACGACGGGCAATTATTAAACGCTTCTCGTCATGTGTCTTCATTTAGCTTTTATTTACCCTGATTTGCGCAATGCGCATGTCTCTGTCGTTTACACCCATTCCTCACATTTCACTAATCTACATGTGCCTGTATTTCTCACCCACTCTTTCTGCCTCCTCTGCAGAGTGTTCTGGCGCAGGCCAGTCCTCCGATGTCGAACGGTGACCTGGCCGGAAAACTACACGGAAACCATCTGACGGTGCACAGCAAGAAACAGGGCGTCTCTGGAGAGAGCAGTCACCTGGACGGAAGGAACATGACCGTCACCGCGCCCAAATTCGAAAAGGACTTCCGGTGGGTCCAAAGCACTGGGGTAGGCTTGGGGTTGGGGGAGGCGGAAGCTCATGGTGGTAAGTGGAGAAAGGAAAGGTTGTTGATTGGAATCCGTACTTCATGGGCTAAATTCATGGCAAGTCACGAATTGTATGAGTTAAATGCATGTACAAAGGAAGGGACACTTTTGTTTATGTTTTGAAAGGTTGTCACATGTCAAAGCATTGTGTTTTTACGTTCCCGTGGACAAATATTTGGCTGGAAAGAAATAAACCTAAACGAAAAAGTAGACCAAAGTGTGCCACACTCTGCCATTTCGCATCCGTTCACCTTTAATATGACGTGTTAATTATTCAACAAATGATAAGCATTCTACTCACTCGGCCGCAATGCGAGTGCCGTGCTCGCTCTCGCCCGTCAATCAGTTGCAATCGGGCGGAACGAGCCATGCGGGTCAGTCTACCTCTCAGGCAGCGACAGGCAGAGACATCTGTCGGGCAGTCGCAGAAACTCGATCAGTTGATTGGCGAACGAGACTCTTATGCTTGTGCACCCTCCAACACATGGCCTACCTTATGCTCTTTTTGTGCAAGGCTATTTACAACGTCTTACACAGTAGATTGGCATTATTTGGACGAAAAATAAACATGCCTTCGACCCCTGTCGTGAGGCTATACCGGTGCCAGGAATGATAAACATAGACGATCTATTCCTTCAACGGCCAGCGGCAGACCTAGACGGGCTTGAACAGGAGGAAAACTGAGAGAGCGATTTTTCAGATGCGCTAGTGTATCGCATTCGTTGAACAGTGGATATGATTCATATCCGGACCCCTTATTGTTTTCCTTGAGCTTACAGCTTACATAATGCATTAATATCTCGACTCTGACATATTGTCCTATGTCGTCTGTTCCATGTTTCTTGCGTACAACATTCTTCTGTAACAAAGTTATCAATATTTTCTCTTTTGACAGTTATCCGATCGTATTATGTTCACTCCCGCTCAAATTTGACATGCCTTGTAAAGACAAAGCTATTTAGTAATAGAAGTCCCAATTTCAATGTAGTAAAGCAGTACAGAGGCGAGTCTCACGGCTCTGTTCTGCACCTCTGTACAAGACTCGTGCACTTTGTGTACGGTGTCTCACAAAGGAGGCGCCTGGGGCAGACAAATATTTACGGCGAGGTGCTGTCGGGTGACCTGTACCCCGAGGCTGGAGCAGTGGCTGGGGGTGTTTGCCTCTCACTTGACTGGGGGAGGGCGAGCGGGCGGGGCAAGTCTTGTTTCAGTTTATCCAGAAAGATGGAATGCTTTTAGTTGTGTGCCTATCCAGTATCCACTACAGCAAAACGTTGTTTTAGTAGTTCATCATATTTATTCGTATTTTACATACAACCAAAAGTCACGACTCTTCGATGTTATCAATTCTCATGCAGGGCAAAGCTCTGTTTTTCAACGTCTTTATATTTGTGCAAACGTGGATCATGGTAGACTATTTATTTTTCGTTCTTAAGAACGCCAGAACCATTCTCGACTGATCGATTCCCACTTGCGTTCCAGATCAAAGCAGCTGATTAAGGAGGCCATCATGGACAACGACTTCCTGAAGAAGCTGGACTCTTCACAGCTCCGTGAGATCGTAGACTCGATGTACCCGAAGAAGTACGCCAACGGTACTTTCATCATCCGGGAGGGAGAAGTCGGTAAGTACTGGCGTCATCATCGTCATCATCGTTATCATCATCATGATCGTCGTCGTCGTCGTCATCATACTTAAACGCCATTTTTGGTCACTGCTAAGGTATTCGTCATATTTAAGCCCGTAAACTTTCTTCTAAATATAAGCCAATTCTTCCCATCAAACTTTGAACTCATATCATCAAAGTTAGCGCTGTGACATTGCGTTTAAATATCTGGTTTGGCAAGAACATGAATAGCGCAGGTTGTTATTCTTATTATTTTTTAAAGAGTAGAGTGCTGCCATGCTGGAGTTATATTGACGGAGCACAGCGTGCTTCATCCTTTGCCACCTTACTATGTAGATGCTGAGTTGACCTTTGCGTTTTCAAAATGGCTAAACAGTGTGAAGGATACGAACTGATTGGAGGAACACGAGGGTATTGACACAAAGATCCGGCTTGTTCACAATAAATGACCAGGATCTACTAACTAAAGACGAAAGAATCTGTAATAAGACAGCTTGCTGATTCAAGGGTCTCAATTGAACCTTTGCTTCTTTGTACACAGCAGTTGTTAATAATTTCCTTTCTTATTTTAATGATTACAGCGGTGATAAGGTGTGGTTAAATTACATTTCATTTTTACATTTTTTACTTTTCAATGTGCTTATCTAAGCCACTCTTATTTCCAATAAAGAAACGTTTTTCTTTAAGCGAAGGGTTAAGGGGGGGGGGGGCTTACACATAACGCAATGTACTAGGACCAAGTGGAGAGAATTCTAATTATCGACGTCCCTTTGGAGAGGAATAAAGAATATATTCGTGCAGAATGGTCTAATGATGGGAAATTGCGTCGTGGGTTCCAATATGCCCTTTATTTTTCGATAGCAATGCACTATTATGTATTTAAAAAGTATTTGTGCTGACAAATCATTAGAAAAATTTGAGATCGGTACAGCTTTCACTCCTTAATTTTATTAATCGTTTTGGCCGCCTAGACGATAACGAACACAATTTTTCCGCTATTATCAAACGTTTAATTCTTCTTTCTATACCTCTATTTATCAGTGTTTGGTGACCTGTCATCTTCTGGCAGCAGTTACCGATAACATATAATCCGCGTTTTTCGACGGGTTTTACATTTTTAGGAAACATCAACTGAGAGACGACACGCGAAACGTTTTGCTGCGCCGATCCCGGATACATTCCAGGAAGGAACGCGCCGACACATTCTTGCGTAGGCATCAGTGACCGCATGCGTAGGCCTTTTCTCTGGGCAAAGTTGTTCTGTGAATGACGACATTCGATATTGAAGCCGAAAAAAGACAGTGACGGAGCTAAGATGTCAGGCGAGGCTCCGTCGTTAGGTCTGGATATATCTTTCGTGAAATTATTGTGGCATCATATTTACCGTCATGCGGTACTTTTACCTGGTTCTCTGCAATTGTTTGTTCCATATGATTGCTAAGTCATGTGGAAAATATGCCATGCGTCATGTGCTCTTGTTTCGCATGTGACATATTATAAGCTAGGTAACACCTCAAGCTTCTGCGTGGTGTCTTTGCGACCCGTATTTCTGAACTCTAGTGACCTTTGTGTTATTCTGTCTGTGCGTGACCCAAGGTGACCTATCGTGAACTGAGTGTGGCTGTGCGACCTATGCGACATATGTGTCCTGTGTGACCTCTGGTGACCTGTGTGTAAACTCTGATGATCTGTGTGTATTGTGTAGTGTGCACCCTGTTTATGACCTCTGGTGACCTCTGGTGACCCATGTGCCGCCAGGGAGCCACCTGTTCGTGGCCGCCGAAGGTCAAATGGAGGTCATCAAGGAGGGTCAGGTGCTGGGTCAGATGGGCCCGGGGAAGGCGTTCGGAGAGCTGGCCATTCTCTACAACTGCACCCGCACGGCTTCGGTCAAAGGTGAGATTCGATTGGATGGAGCGATCACTCTGAAAACGAACATTGTAGTATCGAGGGGAAATGAAAGGGTAACCGGGTTAGGTGATAACTGAATGGGTTGTATTTAGGGGAGATATTGATTGCGGGTGTAAGTTTAGAGGCCATTCAGCTTAGGAGATGTGCCGTTTTAGCTTTTTTAACACGGTTGTTAGGACTGCAGTTTGTATTACATCGTTGATTGTGCTTGTTCGCACCGTTACAAACGCATTCTATCGTGGTTTTACATATACATCGGGGGTCATTGAAGACTTGTGCTGTGTGCATTTGCATCAAGTTTAGCTCTACCTACCTCTCCTCCTATCCCCCTTACTCGTCCTCTCTCTCTCTCTCTCTCTCTCTCTCTCTCTCTCTCTCTCTCTCTCTCTCTCTCTCTCTCTCTCTCTCTCTCTCTCTCTCTCTCTCTCTCTCTCTCTCTCTCTCTCTCTCTCTCTCTCTCTCTCTCTTTCTCTCTCTCTCTCTCTCTCTCTCTCTCTCTCTCTCTCTCTCTCTCTCTCTCTCTCTCTCTCTCTCTCTCTCTCTCTCTCTCTCTCTCTCTCTCTCTTTCTGTCATATCAACCTGCGGTTCAATATGATGCCCTGTCGTAATCTCTCTCATAACCCAATACCCCGTGCCGTGCCGTGTCATACCGTGACGTGCCGTGCCGTGGCAGCCGTGACGGACGTGCACGTCTGGGAGCTGGAGCGGCGCGTCTTCCAGACGGTGATGATGCGGACGGCCATCCGCCGTCTGGAGGACAACCTCAGCTTTCTGCGCTCCGTGCCCCTGCTGGCCAAACTCAGCAGAGACAAGCTCGTCAAAATGGCCGACGTTATTGAGACGGTTAGTGGCGGCCGCCATATTGGGTGTACCTGAGGGTTGTCAAAGAGGCCATCTTGGGCGTACTGACGAGGGCTGTGGAAGAGGAATGGTGATGGCTTTGCTTCTATTTGATTAGTTGAATGCCCTACTTTAATTCATTCTTTTCTGGTTCTAGTGGGTGTGGCGATGTGATGACTCCGTCATAAACAGTTGCTCATTTACTTAGATTGTTTCTCACTGGGTGGGTGGCAATCAAATTATAATAATAATAGTCAGAAGATACGATGTAAGCCAAGCCTGCTGCTTAGGCTCGGAATAATTTCGTCTGGTCAAGAGTTTCCTGGTCGACGAGAGGAGCTTCCTGGTTGACGAGATAGTTTGGAGTTTGTCTCACTCACAAAGACAGAAACGGTCCGGTTCCATTCACTGACCTCAACTGACCGCCGCTGCTTTCATCAAACGCAAAGAGCCATAGACCATTCCCGTCAGAAGTTTCGTATATCGTGCGCCGGAGCTGCTAGAACTGAGCGTATCAAGTCTTATGCTCTGCCAACTGAGCTACGTGACGGACAAACTTATCTAGCATTATTGATTGGACATTGATTCAGTTTTACAGCCAACGCTGTTCATGTTATGACGAACTTACGCCCTAGATAAATGTCATCTGTGTTTGTATCGGCTGAAATTGTGGGCCGATAAGCCTCATATGGCTGTATCGGACGCAGTAATATTGGGTTCCTTTGAACCATATTCTTATCGACGTCCGCAACAGAGCTTTACAAGGGATTGGCAGTTGTGCAGAAGGGAATCAGCCATTTTGAGATAACCCAGCCCTGTGTTTCGTAACCAATCGTCGTGAAAAAAACATTTTTTTTCTGGAAATCAATGGGATAGAATATCGTTTCATGTTCCAGTGAAGGATAAGGTGTGGCGCAGGGGCGTCGCCGACGGGGGGGTCGGGGGGGTCGTGACCCCCCCACTCTTGAAAACTGGGGGTGTCGACCCCCCCCCACTTTTTGCGATGCTGAGTATGCTTTTTTAGGTTTTATGTCAGTGAAGCAGGCGTCAGCAACACCAACAAATACATCAGATTCAGAATCGCTTCAAGAGCTCCCTAAAGCCAATTAGCCAATTAGCTAAAGGTCAATTAGCTGTGGGCGGGGAACACCAGCACAACAATGTTTTTAAGTAGCCCCCATTCTAGTACCTTTTTATCACTCAAAGGTTTGGACGCGCCAAAACTGCCCCGAGCGTTCGTCTGATCGTTTAAAAAAAATGGTCGCAGTCGTTTCGTCGGATCAGTACCCGTAACTACAAAACTACAAACTAGCCTCAGCCCCATGGCTACCGTCACAACTAGCTGTACAGTGCACATGTAGGGGAAAGGGAGTCAGATGGAACCGTCTCGGGCTTTCGCAAAGAAGTCGCGCAAAAAGGAGCCGATTGCAACAAAACTTCCGGTGCGCTCCAGTTAATCACCTGCTTAAAAATAAATCGATATCCCTGATTCAAATAAAGATGACCTTAGTTCACTTTTTCATAACATGCTTTTAATTTATAGGGTAGTTTTTGGAGCTGATTTTGAACTTAGCGCCCATCTGAACATTTAAGAAGTAGTTGTGTTGCTTATTCATATAACATGTTAGGAAGCAATCGGTGGTGGTCATCCACTATTAGGTACTGGTCGATCTGACCTGACCTGATCTACCCCAAATGCATGGAGTCATCATCTTCGTTCAAAACTAAGATAACATTCGTAATCAGAACCTCGAAAAACCATCACAACTTACATTCGTTAAGTTCTAGCAGGTCCCGAGTTTCTCTACTTATTGGCGATGACCTGAGTCCTGAGATGACCCGAAAACTTGTAAATGGGTATCATCGGCTTTCTCTCGTCACGGGCAGCATGCTCTTTTTTCCGCAAACCTGTAGATCGAATATCGATCAAGGGTCGAAAGTATGCCTCAGCGTTAGTTTAGTCTACGTTATACGTTAGCGACTGGGAAACCACCAATAGAAGGGCTACAGTGAAGCAGAAAACTATTCGATAGCTCTTTTAACGCTCTTTCGCTAGCTTCGCGTTAGATTTCATCTGAGGTCTATGTTTGGCCCATAAGAAGGCAAACAGCTAGCTGGACAGATTCTGCCGAAACATCTGCTTTGCAATAACTTTCGATTCCGTGAATTTGTATGGTATGTACATATGTTGTCTTGTCACCACCGCGTTGATCTCTTTGAGACGCGTCACATGAGTTAAAATTTGACCATTCAGAATTAACGTTTAAAACGACCTCAGGCCAACGTTATGTCCTGATCGAAAAAGGACCTCCTGCTGCATATGAATGGATCCGTGTTGTTGAGCTGAACAGTGAACACCTTCCAGGTGCTGTCATCGCTCTACCGCGTCTTCGTCAAAAGTTGTAGAAAAAAATGCTGGTGTCCATCGATGGACATTTCCACTAATGATCTTTCGAGTCATCACTCGCCATAAGTTGCACCCTGTCCCTGGCAATGATGAGCTGATTTGTCATGGCTCCAAAGATATTTTGCGTTTCTGACGAACTTTTTCAAAGCAGGAGGCATTCGTGCTTTTTCTAATTTCTCATTATTTTCTAATGATGAGGTCACGTATTTGACCTGCCTTCAGATCATAGATGTAAATCCTCAGTTTGAATCATGAATTGCTGACACGTATAACCCCATACATTAGATATACAGTGTACCAAATTTCAAAGTTATGCATAACTTTGGGAGAATTATGGGAGAATTTGCATAATTATGGGAGAAAAGCTACAAGAATGGCGAGAGGGGAAAGTTTTATAGAGGTATACCGTATAACTGAACTTGACATGGCGACCTGACCTTAACCCTCGCATGTGTGCGGCGTTTGCCAGCTTCTAATGTGTAGGGGGGGGGGGGTAGGTTGGACCCCCCCTTGCCGTTTGGCCCCTGATCGAGCTAGAGCTTCGCGGAAAAAACGAGCGTGTTGCCCGTGACGAGAGGAAGCCGATGATACCCAATTTTAAGGTCCTAGGTCATTGGTTGACCTTCCAGGTCAGGTCAATGACCCAAAGTCGGGAAAATCGGGACCTGTTAGAAAGTCGTAAAGTGTGGCTGCTAAGGGGTTTTTCGGGATGCTGATCACGAATATCGTGTTAGTTTTGATCACAGATGATGTCTTTAAGCATTTAGACCAGGTCAGGTCAGGTCAGGTCAGGTCAACCAGTAGGCGTCGTGACGGGTATTCGTAGTACGTGTCAACCGCCTCTGACAGCTTCGTAACATGTTACGAAGGCACCAAAACTACTTCGTAAATGTTTAAATGGTTGCTAAATTCGAATTCAGCTCCAAAAACTAGCCTAGAAACATGTACAGCTCGAAAAAGTGAACCGAGGTCACCCGAGGTCACCAAAGGTCAATGACCTGACCTGACCTTCAGGTGACCTTGACACCCACCCTAATGCATGGAAGCAACATCAAATCACATGTTTGAACGTTTGAAACCACGAAAAACTTGCAAACGCGCGGCTAATGCGAGCCGATATACGCAGAATCGCGATTCCGGCCAAACATGGTCTCGGAAAAGAGGTCACAGGTCAAAGGTCATTTGGGTCAGGGTCATGAAATTTTCAGGGTAGGTGTAAAATTGATCAATGTGAGGGTACTGAAAATTTCGTCGCGATCGGCCGCTTTTTACGCGAGTTATTCGCGAAAAACCATGGGGGGGTCCATCCGACCCCCCCCCTACACATGCGAAGGTTAAGTGACCAGTGATAATTTTTACGCAAGTGATGTAGGTAGGTATACCTACCTAATAGGTTATACCAAATTTGGCGGCGCTGCGCGCCGATTTGTTACACGCGCGCACACACACATACGCACGCACAAAACTGGGAAGTGTGGCAAAAAAACACCCCTACCCATCGGGTGAAGACTAGAAACCCGACCCCCCCCACTCAAAAATCCGTGGCGACGCCCCTGGTGTGGCGAGTGGCAACCCAAGAAATCAAAATCCCTTTCCAATGTTTAGGATAATCAGTAGCTAACTAGAAATTATTTGCTTGAATTGTTAGTTACCACATATGTATGTAGGATCTTCATGATGCATCTCTGTTTTCTCACTTTTGTGAGGTGTATTATGTTTTAAAATTCACTTCATCGATCAAAAATATGTTATGGTATCTCACAAAGATGTGTCAGTTGCTGTTTATCAGCCTTGTCTCTCGTGTGCTGTCTGTATCTAACCGTAACTCCCGGTGTCTCCCCTCAATAGGAAACATACGCGCCTGGTGCCTACATCATCAGACAGGGAACCAGTGGTGACGGATTCTACATCATCAGCTCCGGATCGGTCAAGGTCACACAGAGGTCACCAGGTCAGTCTGCGAGGTCAAGGTCAAGGGTCATACGCTTAGTGTTCGATCGACGTTACTCGAGGTCATTAGGATATTGCAGGCCTGAGATAGGTTGGTATGTAATATTAGATAAAGATTAAAGTTTACCGGCATTTGATCGTGATTGCTTGGATATTGGCGATTTTATTAGATTTGTTGCCTTTGATCTTTCTTATTTTAAGTTCTTTCATTTTTCAAATTTCGCAAGTTTGAAGCAATGTGCTCTTATTAACTCGATTGGCTCCCCATTTTAATTTCATATTTGTTATCAGTTTACAACAATCGATATATGTTCAAAAATATTTTTTGTTTCCATACTTTGTTTGCATGCTCTTGCATTTGTTTAGTTATAAAGCAGAGTTTGCTACCTCTACAATATTTTGCGCTGATCTTATAATACTGCAACATTTTTCTCTGGATATCCCTTGCATCCTCAAGCACTTCAATCAGTAGTTACAGGGACAAACTAGTATAATCCGGTAGAACCAGGTCAGAAAATATTTACAATATAATCCAACCTGTATGCTCACACTGCGCTGCCTGTTGACTGCTGCTGCTGGCTGCAATTTCCCAAATCGATGCGCCGAAAATGCGGCCATCGATTTAGCCAGCAGCAGCTAGGTAGCTCCAGTGCGGGTGCAGTGCACATTGCACTGTGAAAGTGGGACGCGGCGATCTATATGGGAGGGTTAGCTGTTGTAATATCGACTGGTGAAATGGGGGCAAGCATGGCACTGGGCACTGGCGGTAGTTCAGGAGTTAATGGAACTGCGTAGCACTAAAGGACTGGGGCGGATAAATTGACTGCATTAACTGGAATAGGAGAATGTAGAATAATACTTCTTTATGTAGAACGCGTTGTCGCTTATTGAATGTCATACGACATACATTTAACCCTCGCCGGACCTATTGGTTTTCTACATACGCGCCGGCCGAGGGGGGCGGGGGGCGGGGCGGGTACGACCCCCCCCTCGCCGTTTCGCCCCTGGTGGAGCTAGCGCGTCCCGGAAAAAACGAGCGTGTGCGCCGTTACGAGACGCAGAGATTGGTACCCGATTTTAAGGTCCTAGGTCAACCGGTGACCTCTGAGGTCAGGTCAAGTGCCCCAGGGTACGGTTCAGTTTTTGGTGAATAACTTCGCAAAAAACGGTCGCAGAGCCGCGATTTTGGCAGCATCGTGTTCGCCTTGCTCAGGCGCGTCGAATGATATACTTTTTGTTCGGGTCAGGTCAACTTAGGGTGTTGACCTCAGGTCAAGGTCAGGTCAGCACCCCCAGGTCACGAAGTTGGTCGAAAGAGGTCATGTCGCATATCATTCGATTCGGCAGGTCTTCCTGAGTCCATTGGTGGCTTTCCCGACTCGCTAGGTCAATTTGTTCGAGAGTTATTGACGAAAAACTAATATGACCTTGATGACGTCATAAATGACGTCACGCAAGGTCAACATTGCAAAAGTGACGCATCTAACCTTGCAAGGAGTGCATCAAATCACGATTCTGTGTGCTTGAGATAGTTGGAGATCGTTCCCGGCGCCAGAATAGCAGTTTTCATTTTTCCCCATTGACTTATACCTAATGGTGAGGTCACGAAAATGACCTGACCTCATATGACCTTTAGGGAAAATCCGAGATATACAAGTTGTGAGACTCATAATGGATACTAGATCCTGCAAGTTTCATTTCCCTGTGACATCTCCTCTGGCAGTGAGGGCGTTGCGAAGTTGCGACATCTGAAGACCGTGCAGAGGTTCACTTATGACGTCATAGGTCAGTGACCTGACCTGACTAAAAAATGCGGTTGGTGTCAAAAGATGCGGCTTGGATCAAAGGTCAGGTATGCCAAGTTTCAGCTCTCTATCGCCAGCGTGTTCGGAGCTATCGCGAAAAAAAATCCTATGGGGGGCGGCACCCGCGCCCCCCCCCCCCTCGGCCGGCGAGGGTTAATCTGTATATGATATCAACTGTATTTGCATAATCATGCACATTGCAACTGTACTATGTTCGTGTTCTGAAGAGCTGTCAGGTTCGGTGGAGTTTTGGCTGAGCGCTGAAAGGGCATGGGGTGGAAGAGCATCGAACAACTACTAAAATAATAAATAATCGGATCCGACTAATAATATTTATAACAACTAGACATACGCTGATTTTTATGTCTGTCGCCTTAGGAACATTAATCGTGTATGATATACGATACCGGTCAGATTATATACTCGCCAGGGATTATAGTCCTGACGTAGGTGCGATTCCGAGTTATTAGTAGTTTTCGCTCTGTTTTTAGCATCTGGCTCTATGGAGCTAATACAGGTGACTATGCCATTTGGTCAAGCCATCCCTGTTTTTTTTTTTGTGTGGTTTTGACTTGGAGTTGGGAATAAGCGTCTGAGTGAAGGAACGAAGCTAGGAGACAGCGGGGAGCGCTTAGCAACAATACCGGGCGTTGGGGAGGTTTGCGGGGTGAGGGGCAGGGGAAGTATTGAGGGGTATGGGTCGGTCCGGTGGCCGCAGGTCGACAGGTCTGTAGGCGACCCCGGCCTGGGAGTGTCAGATGGAAGGGGAGGGGGGCAGGGGACAACATCGGCCGTCAGATGCAGCATGCAGGGACGTAGCAACGGGGTGGGGATTTGGGTGGGAAGGTAGAAAATAGGAATGTAATGGTAGGATTAGCACGTCTTTAGCAGGGAAGAGGTAATGATGTGTGGGGTCATAGGCGGCGGAACGGGGGGCACCGGGGCACCGTGCCCCCCTTGAATTCTGCAAGGGGGGCACCAATAGCAAGGTGCCCCCTTAAATATCATGCATTAGTACCAGGGGCGGATTCGGGAAAACTCCAAGGGGAGGGTCATGAATCGAAGTGGTGCCCCTACCTATATACCCAAAATTAAAACCTCAACGGATTTCAGCCACTTAATTTTGGTGGTGCCCTATTTTCAGTTTTTTATTTTCTTTATTTTTGGTTAGTCCTGTGATGACTGGTGCCTCTGCTAGGCCGCTGGTGCCCCTGGAAAGACTGTGGTACCTACCTACCCTGCCCCCTGACAAGCCTACGGTGGGCCCTGCACATGACTTAGGTGCCCATGGGCCCAGACAGGCCCGTGGTGCCCCTGACAGGCCTGTGCGTGGTGTCCTTGCTAGGCCTGTGGTGTCCCTGGGCCTTGGCAGGTCTGTGGTGCCCCTGTTAGAACGCAGGTGCCCTTGACAGGTTTGTGGTGCCCCTGACATTCCTAAAGTGCTAACGACAGGCTTGTGGTGCCCTTGACAGGCCCATGGTGCCCTTGCGAGGCCGATGGTTCCCCTGCGAAGCCGATAGTGCCCCTGGCAGGCCTCTGGTGCCCCTGGCAGGTCTGTGGTGCCCCTGGAAGACCTGTAGTGCTTTTGCTAGGCCGATGGTGCTCCTGACAGGCCTTTGGTGCCACTGACAGGCCCGTGGTGTCCCTGCTAGACCTGTGGTACCCCTGGCGGGCCTGTGGTGCCCCTGTCGGCTGTCAGGCCTGTGGTGCTCCTGGCAGGCATGTGGTGACCCCAGGCCCAAAGTCATGACCCATGTGACCTCCCCCCTGGGATTCGCCACTGATTAGTACTGCGATGGCTTCTTGGTAATTTGATGCATGTAGGATTAATGGAATTTATCAAACGAGAATAAGGAAGAGACAAACACATAGGTACTTGAGGATCAGCTTAAAGGTAGTGTGCCACCTTTGAAAGATTTCCCATTTTATTTTTCCTAAGATAAGAAGCTTCTGTTTTTACCTAATATCGCAAAAAAAATCAAAAATGGGCCTGGAATAGTGCCTTTTTCGCCTAAAAGTTTATCGGTTTTTAGATATGTATAACAACTGTAGTGGGCTCACCTGCAAACAGACGTCGGGCAACAATCGCGAATGCGGCGCACTTGTGACAATAAGCAAAGGTCATTATAGTGTTACGACCATACGACGTACGGGAATGAGTTATCAGCTGTCTAATCGTAGACAACACAATGTCGAGCCTTAAACTGTAAGCCCGTATTGGTATTGTTTCTTTTATTTGGCTGTCGAACATTATTTATGGTTTGAAATATGATTTTATGTAAAATAATTGATATGAAAAAGCCGTCTTATAAGTTATGACCCCATTTCACCACACGCAAGTGGCAGAAATGACAATGATCAGCTGACGCATTTTTCTTGGCCGAAGTCAGAGCGCGCAGCCCGACGCACCACCACCGCACCACAAAGTATGAGCAGAAGCCGCGCCCAAAGCCAGGGCCCCGGTAACGTGAGGTAGCCGAGTCGGGGCAGCGTGCGCTGACCCAAGCCGGGGCCGCAGCTTTGGGCGCGGTCTACCGCATCCCCGCGGGCAGCCCCGGGCTATCACATGACACCGGGAGGACGCGCGGCTCCGGCTTGGGTCAGCGCACGCTGCCCTGACTCGGCTACCTCACGTTACCGGGGCCCTGGCTTTGGGCGTGGTCTACCGCACCACCTAACAGGCGTGTTCGAAACCGCAGGAGCTGATGATGAACGGGTTTATCGAAACTTGATTGGATGAGCATATCGGTAATAGCGATTTCAGTGTGTGCATTTATTGTTCATAGTGGTGTGAAATGTGGTTGGGGTACGACCGACAACCCGTCGGGGCGAATTTCGCACTGGGGTACTCAAAATTTGAATAATTTAAGACGTTTTCATGAGTTTTGAAGGTATGGATAAGTTCTAAAAATCCGGTTCTCCTTATCTGGGCCATTAACTCCATACGGTCCAGGAAAGCTGGCACACTACCTTTAACCCGCGAGTTGCTGGGGGGGGGCGTTAGACGCCCCCACTTTTTTCGCCGGGCCATAGCATAAAAACGGCGCGCCGCAGGCGCACCAAATTTTTGGTACCTGTAGGGAATTGATCGAAGTTTATTGTGACAAAGTTTCAAAAAAATCGGTCGGAAAATTTTTGAGATATCGAGGTTTTAGTGACGTCATGATTTCTGAGTTTTCGACCAAAAGCGGCATATGTTCCAAAAAATCATATAAAATCACAGAATAGACATACAGACATGCCGTTAGACTGCCAATACCATGAACAATCAAATGGCTATCTTCGATTATTGATTATCGTTCCGCATTTTCCAAAATCTTGAACTGAATCTCGGCAATTTCTCGTGACTACTTCACGACCATGATACATGCATTTTATAAATTGAACTTTTTGAGCCAAACACGTACACATATGATAAAATGAATGTCACCATCGTGTTCTACGCCCCAAATTACCCATAAAACATGTGTCACAGGCTGCGAATATCAGTTTTGATTTTCGGGGATATGTGCCTTCCCGGTTGACCTGACCTTGACCCTGACCTATGCTTGACTGACCCCTACATGGAGATGATACTCTTGTAGGCCTTATATGATGGATTGTGCACCGTTTTGACAGAGTTTATGACGAGAGGCGCCCATTGCAAAGTCCTGAAGTCCATGCTACTGAAAGCCCGATTTCAGGTGTTTGACCTTACCTTGACCCGACCTGTGACCTCAAAATTCAACTGTAAAGTACTCATCTGAAGCGTCTCGTCGCGTTCTTTCGTTTGCCGCCTCGTGCGTTTCGCTGCGCCTATTGGTTCTCGAGTTATCGGCTGGGGGCGTTTAACGCCCCCCCCCCCCCAGCAAACGGTGGGTGGCGAAATACCCCAGCAACTGCCGGGTTAAAGTTAACCACACATACGGGGGTGAACTGCCATTTTCGTTAAGTAAAAAAAAAATCATCGTGTCAGGGCTGTGACGAAAAATAAGTGGCCTAAATCCGATGAGAAAACAGGATTTTGGGGTACCCTAGGTTTGGCTCCTTGAGCTGGTGCCCCCCCCCCTTGTCTCAAATCGTTCCGCCGCCTATGTGTGGGGTAATAATTTAATGCTACCTGCTTACCTATGTGATTTGTAGGAGAAAGTGGTAAATGATGCGGATATTATTCTTTAGTCATTTTTACATAAATGCTGAAATTGATTATTTGGAACTCGACTCAAACTATTCCGTGTTAGCCACTGACAGAAGCAGGAGGCATCAGGGAAATATGTATGCTCACTTCTCCCGCAGCGTTCGTAGTTAATGAACCGAAATAATCCCTTGCATAAAGTAGATGAAAAAAATATCAAAAATGAAAACGTTTAGGATTGCACAACGACGATTACCAAGCGCACACAGAGTTTTTAGATCTCAGGGAACACTATCCGTTTAGGGAATACAGCTTCCGATACTGCCTTTCTTTATCTTCCGATAATGCCGGCTAAATAATAACAGCAACCCGGGCTTCTGGCATATATCTTTGGAATGTGGCATATTCTACAATCTACTCGCTTCCAAGTAGGATGGGCTCATTGTTCTGTTTGTATCCGATTCATTTCCTCTGCATCCTCTGACCAGCGGAAATGAAAATAACAGAAGCTCTAGGAAAAACCTTATAAGCGCAAGATTGATATTGACCTCGACACGCGCTATTTTCCGAACTAATTTCCGTCTCTTTCTTTCTCATCAGAAGGTTTGGTCTCTGAGCAATGTCTTTATTCTTAGACTGCATTCTTTTGCGGGAGCGCTCAATGAAAACCAAATAATCGGCGGCAGGAAGCTGATATTGTGCATGCCATCGTCTATTTTTAGAGGCTCATCCCATCCCCAGTCAATGCATCACACTTCTATCCATAGTTTCACCACACCATCGTAAGGACAGACCAGTATCGTCCGCCGCTGCAACGCGTTTTAACTTTCCCATACCTGCTACATTGCATGATTAAATCGAGACATCCAGGCATTTTAATGGCACGTGCACTGTACCACACCAGCCGTGTGGTTCAAGGGGTGTGGTTAAACGCGTTGAACCACACGGCTGCTGACGTCACTATCAATTATAGTTGTGAGCTTTTTGGCAGGTATGGGAAACACCTTCCAGCCCTAAGGCCGGAAATTCAATAAATGTCACCTCGCTTTTTTAGCGAAAAGCACCTCGGGCCTAACGGCCCTCGGAGTTTTCGCTAAAAAACCTCGGTGACATTTGTTGAATCATCCCGGCCCCGGGCAGGAATATATTGTCACGGCCTACTTACAAAATGTCATCATAAGCCTCATGCTCGTGCAGTTGTGCGCTGGTGACTCCGATGGGCGCATCATAAAACGAACCCGTCCGAAACTAATGGCCCAATGTGACCTCATTGTAGTGCCGTGCTGTGTTTTGTTGGAGTATAATTGGTCGTTTTGGTGTCGTCAAAGCGGTACATCGGGGCTAAAAGGACGGCTTATTTACATGATATGGCAAAATGGAATGATGTCTCATGTCCGGTTTTGTGATGATGTTTGCTGTATCATGCTGATGTTTGGTACGGGCTAGTTGCTTTTAAGGGGTGGATAAATGCATCAACATAGAATTATCAATACCGTCCTAAGTGGCAACGCAATCAATCGCTGGGATAGAAATGAAAGTGAAAAGAAGAATGCATCGAGTTTTCAACAGATAAAAATATTACACAATAGATACATAAAAGCTATTTATAAGATCTCGGAATCTCCTATTTCCTACATTAAGAAGTCTTTGGGTCTAAACTCGGCATCCACGCTCAGGTTATTGCTGCGGCGCTGGCCAGCCCCATGCCGAAAAGTTCCAAAGGCTAAAGCTACCCACCAATGAGACACGCACACAGGCTACTTCGAAAACTTTCCCGAGGTCGCCGTCCTGCGCTGACCAAAGTGGGAGGCGACTCAGCCTCGAACTTTTTGTCGTTGCTAAGTCGTACTTGGCAGTTGGATTCGCTATCGGGTACTTTCTGTACAAGTTGCAAATCTGGTGAATGGATTGCTCTAAGGTCAACGGCTCCCTCTGGAGCGTTTATAGCTTAACCGCCTCAATAAGTTGAACGCTGCGAAGAACAGTTTCGGCGTGGGATGTTAAATAGGTTTTTTTATTTGGTACTATCTGCTGGGAAATACCGAACGTAACCAGTTTAATCGTGTGAAAGAAGGATTGAAATACTAGGAACGTGTTGACGTTCAACAATTTTAGCCACATGTGAGCCGTTCACAGTGTGGTGGCCGTCAGATGTGGCGCGATAGCTCCGATTACGGTTCAAATATTGATTCAGTGATCTGTCCCCTGACTTTGACTGTCTCTGATGTCAGACTCCGTCATCTGTCCCTGACCCTAATTCTGACTCTGACTCTGACTCTAACTCTGACTCTAACTCCAACTCTCCCACTCACTCAGATGGCGTGGAGGACGAAATTCGCACGCTCAAAGCCGGCGAGTATTTTGGAGAGCAGGCTCTACTGAAGGAGGACAAGAGGACGGCCAACATTATCGCCCAGCCGCCGTCCGTCACCGTGCTGGCTCTGGACAGAACGTAGGTCATCAGGGGAGGGCCATGTGAGGTCACGTGGGGGGGGCTGTAAGGTCACATAGGGGTGTGAGGTCACGGCGACTATGAGGTCACGTGGAAAGTGTTAGCCCGCGACCTGGTGGGGGGGGGCTATTTTTTGCCCCCCCTCCAGACTTTTCGATATATCTCCAGAACCGCTGCGCCGATCGTCACCAAACTTTCAGTACCCTCCCGGACATCAATTTTACACATTGTGATCAAAAATTTTTCCAAAGGCTATGATAGGTTGGCCGGAAATGACGTCAGAGTGACGTCATGTTCTGCCGTTTTCGACCCAAAAAAGGGTTTCATGGGAAGAGCTGTCAGGCCTATAGCTTTGCGAATACAGAAAAATGATAAAGACATAAAAGCTGTAGAATTGACAGGGCTACAAAACTGCTATCTCGGATTTTTGAAATTTTTGGGTTTTGACCCCCAAAAAAACAAAAAATAAATTTTTTGGATATAATAATCGAAAAATCCAAAAAGTTTTTCGAATTTCGCAAAAACCGGAATATATGTGATAGTCCTTATCGCCTTCCATCCACATACCAAATTTGAGATTGATACCTCTTTTTTTGGCGAAGTTATAGCGAAAAAACTGTTCAAAATTGATGACGTCAAATTTTCAAACTCAATTTTTAGCAATTTTAGACCGCGTAGCGCAAAACAAAGACCACCATTAGACTCCCCGTGACGAGCTGCATCGAATCAATACCCATTTTATGCAAAACTATCAACTTTAAAATTTGGCCTTTTTTGGCCTGACCTTGACCTGACCTTGACCTGAACTTCACCAGAAAGTGACCTAAGCCGTACCTGATAGTCTTATAACCAACACCATTGAGATGGAAATGAAAAATTGGCCATAAAACATGCATCACACAACCTTACTAAAGTTGGGCTCATGTGACCTGACCTGTGACCCTTGGTGACCTGACCTGTGACCTGAGTGACCTGGTATTGTCAGTGACCTGTAATAGCAACATATCTACTAGGCAACTGACGCCCTATCGCTGATTCTCGACAAAATGCGTTTTCCTCGGTGTTATAGCGCATTCCCTAGAAGACCCGTGAACGGTGAAACATTGCATCTTTGACCTGATCTGTGACGTCATCGGTGACCCCGAGGTCAATGAAATTTGGTGTCTTTCGATAAATTTGACAGGCCTTTCGAACGCCGTTTGAATTTTGCGGATCCGTCCAGTAGTTTCGGAGATACGAGGGGGGCAAAAAATAGCCCCCCACCAGGTCGCGTTATAAACAGACCCCACCAGGGCGCGGGTTAGGTCACATGGAGGCCCGAGCTCACATGAGGAAATGGCAAATGGGGTTTCACATTAGTAAGCCGAAATCTTGACCTTGTGAGTTTTAAAGAAGAATGCTAGTTGGTTAGCCCTTGTCAATGTTTATGACTTTTGTCGGCATATCTTACACACATATAAAAACATTCGAGTAAGATAAAGAAGCATTTTTGTTTGCAAAACACTTTTGGATATTTATTTCACTCGCGTAAAACAAGCACTTGAATTTCGTAACCATGTTGCCATTGATACCTGACCTGACCTATGTTGCGTGACCTTAGTGCTGACGCTAACCTCTGCGACCTCAGGTCGTTCGCGCGACTGATCGGTGATCTGCAGGAGCTGCGCGATCTCAAGTACGAGGAGCGGCCAGTTTCCCGCACCAGTTCGGCACAGAGCGCACGGCTGCCGAACGGTACGTGGTCCCGACGAGCGTTAAATCTGGTCACTCTGTTATATTCTTTGGAGCACAATTTGCATATGTGAATGCAGTTCTTTATCGCTGTGATGTGTCATGAGGTTTTCACGACTGATTTTTACTTATTTTCGCTCATTCCACCAATTTTTGTAATTATCTCATCCAAAATCGTACCTTTATCGATAAGGGCATGGCAAACATAAGTTCTTTTGTGATGCATTTAGATATTTAATTCATTATTTCGTTGTCTGATGCGGAAAATTTTCTATTTTCTGCAGAGTTCTCTCATCTGACACTGGACAGCCTGGACATAATCGCCACTCTCGGTATCGGCGGCTTTGGCCGCGTCGAGCTGGTTCAAAGTGCCAGCGAGCCGGGCAAAACCCTGGCGCTGAAATGTCTCAAGAAACACTACATCGTGGAGACTCAGCAGCAGGAGCACGTGCACAGCGAAAAGGAGATCATGCTGCGGTGTAACCACCAGTTCATCGTCAGGTGAGGAGTGGGATGGAGATTTGGAGATAAATTATCATCAGATGTAGGGAATTTTATAGCGAGAGTTTTGATGAGAATTAACTGGTCATACTATGAGAGTAGTAAGGAATTCGCCACTATTCTAAGCAGCTGCCAGCATAATTGTTCAAAGCCGCAACTGGAATGTCAATAAGTGGGCCATGTCACTCGGCTGTTAGCAATCAGCGAGCCCAGCCTTGAATAGCACAATGTAACCATTTTCATGAGCCCATTCCATATTGCCATCGGGATGGTCGTTTGTACGATGGATAAACCTTGAATGGTGAAACTTCATCACAAAGAAGTTTTCCAATTTATTGAATCAGAATAATCAATTGACAAATTCATATGAATTAGTCGAAACCACCGATAATATTGTAATCCAACTCACTGCACATGTCTTGCATCTGGTGTCCTTCATTCTCCCATTCTCCTTATTTTTCAACCCTCACCCCATCTCTGTCTCTCAGACTGTACAAGACGTTCAAGGACTCCAAGTACGTGTACCTTCTGATGGACGCCTGTCTCGGAGGAGAAGTGTGGAGCATCCTTCGGGATAGAGGACAGTTCGACTCCGAGGCCTGCAGGTGAGAGAGGGGAGTGGGGGGAGGGAGAGAGCGAGAGAGAGAGAGAGAGAGAGAGAGAGAGGGGGAAGGGATACCACCATTTTACAGAGTAAAACGTGATATCATGCTTACTGCTCAGGTGCTGAACGGCTAATTTCAGATCATGTGCGTTGTGTTAGTTTTGGACGTTCTGCTCAAAGGACACGTGAAACGGTTTAGTGTATGGTGAAAGCAGTAATGATATCCCGTACAAAACTGACCCGGGTAAATCAGCTCACGATTTTAGCGTCACAGCGTTGCGAGACTCTCTGTAATGCGCCCGTTTAATCTATTCATGGTTTGGCCGGGTTAATTTCACGCCTGGTAGGAGTCATACATGTTAGTCAGCTGTTGCGCAAAGCTGAACCGCATGAAATCAACGGCCTCCATGACCCTTATACTGCGTCTGTAGTTTTCATCCATGGTGATTGTTTGGGTTAATGAATTAATCAGCCTGTCATCAAAACTTGTACGTTAACTTTTGGACAGTCGAGTGAAGTAAATACCTCATTGTTAAACTTAGTAATTGTAGTTGTGGCTTACATCTCGAATTATCTTCCAGTCCCGTTCAAGTAACCTGAGCATGTTACGCCAGTCGTGAGTAGCTCCGATTTGCACATCACGTGTGTTTTATCATTTTCACTCGTTAATTGTGTGTCATGTTTTCCCCAGGTTTTACACGGCGTGTGTGGTGGAGGCTCTGGAGTACCTCCACACACGTCATATCGTCTACAGAGATCTAAAACCGGAGAACCTTCTGCTGGACACAGAGGGCTACTGCAAGCTGGTGCGTTACTACTCATGTCACTTACAGTTAACTCTTGAAAACTTCTTTCGATCGAGCACATTACACATACCACAACTAGCAGTGCCGCTCTTGCATTCAATCATAATTACTCGTTTAAACGTTTGTAGTTTTATTTATGTCATGGGTTTTTACTCTGAAGGGTTTATTAAGTCTCCACATTGCCATAAAACACCATAGAACAAAGTTTTACCAACGACATTTATTTTGCTGTCTGTGATGAATGGGTTGTTATTGGATGACATATTTATGGGTTTTCAGTCACATTTTAGATTTATTGTCGTCGCTCACATTTTAATCAGGCTTGTCGTCGCCTCGCAATTTGTTGATTTATTTGTCACAGCTATTTTGAGATTCTGCTGAGCTCTTATCGAGAGAGCGAGCTGCGTTCTTAGACAGATTATTGTGTTTTACCAAACCATAAGCCAATTGGAGTTTAAACGACAGATTTTGTGATAGGTACTAAATTTCACCCATGTCTAAAGCAAATTTCAAATAACCGTCTAAACCACTCCCTAAGCTGTTAGGACGCTTTCTCGCATCGCATCGTTGTCCACAAGTCCTATTTGCATATCACTCTCATCAAACAACTCTCGTGCTTTGTTTCAGACGGACTTCGGCTTCAGTAAAGAGCTGCGGAGTCACGGAAAGACGTGGACTTTCTGTGGCACACCGGAGTACGTCAGTCCAGAGGTACGATATGAACGGAGAAAGAGAGAGAGAAAGAGAAAGAGGAAAGTGAGGGAGAGGGAGAGAGAGAGAGAGAGAGAGAGAGAGAGAGAGAGAGAGAGAGAGAGAGAGAGAGAGAGAGAGAGAGAGAGAGAGAGAGAGAGAGAGAGAGAGAGAGAGAGAAGCGAGGAATGCCGTTCGACGCGTCAGCCGTGCTCGATTCTAGCGCGTTACGTGGCTAATGAATGGCTCGATTGCAAATGCGGAGTGTTGAGCATAATTGGCTCTCGGAGTATTTAATTAGGCCATCTGAGGAGGATTTCCAAAAGGTCAGGGAGGAATCCTGGTGTGTGGGGGGTTCAATCAAGTAGTGTTAGTTTTAGAAATCCCGTTGTTAAGTGGCGGGTGTGAAATGAGCGATAGACGGGGAGTGTGTTACGCTACTCGTTATTTTAATGAGCAATATGATTACCCTCTTACGCCGAAGAAGACAGCGTGGTGTTTCCCGTCCATTTCTACATCTATCTGCGACCGAGCTGCAATTTTCCGCAGCTCTTCTCTCTCTCTCTCTCTCTCTCTCTCTCTCTCTCTCTCTCTCTCTCTCTCTCTCTCTCTCTCTCTCTCTCTCTCTCTCTCTCTCTCTCTCTCTCTCTCTCTCTCTCTCTCTCTCTCTCTCTCTCTCTCCCCCTCCCTCCCTCCCTCCCTCCCAGCTAAGGAGCCGCTCCCTCCCAGCCTCGTCTCTGACGCGCCATTTCCTCAGCGCTCCCAGCCGGCTACCCTGGCCATCTCAGCCGCCAATGCCGAATATCCCGGCCCGTAATACGGGTGGCCAGATCGGAATGTAAATGGGCTGATCGGCCCGGTATCAGACGGCCATCGGGCCGGCCAATGATTGGGGTTTAACGGAGGATACCTTCTGCGGGCGGGCACCGGGGCCCGGATCCTTGGGGGGAGGCGGGGGGGAGGCCGGATGTGTTGAATGTATTGGGCGATTGAATGGTCATTTCATTGGTGTTTGCGTTGGTTGAATGGTTTTAATCATTTATTTAGTCATTTATTCACGAATACCGAATTATCAAGGATGTTTACTATCTAGTTCTTTACCCAACACTTTCGTAGTTCTTTTCACGTCTTTATCGCCTATCCTATACTACTATGTAAATCTATTATTTGGATTACAATGTTCATCGTCTTGGCGTACTCATTATTGCTCATTATGCTCGTTTCACCAATGTATTAGATGTTCATAAATCATGTCAAAATGTCATTGCTCTGTGTTGTGCGTTTTCATTTATCTCTAGACGATATGTATCCCCGATCTCTTAACACCGTAGTTAACCCTAAAAACCACCCAACTGGCCCGTCGCTCGTCAGGTGATTCTGAACAAGGGCCACGACCGGGCGGTGGACTACTGGAGTCTAGGGGTGCTCATGTATGAACTCTACACCGGAGCGTAAGTAGAGGAGGGGTTACGGTCTATAGGAGGACGGTATAGCACAGGCAATCCCAGTCTTTTGAGGACGGTCTGTGGGGTGTCTATTAGCATAGACGGTCACCGTCTATTGTCAATGGGAAGGGAATCTGCGGGAGGTATCCAATAGCATAGATGGTCGGGTTTATGGAGATCATTATATGGGGTGACACCGAAGGGCAGTGTCTATTGGAGTACCGGGGTCATGGGAGGCGCAAAGCTTTTTTATCAGGTTATCAGGTTATCTTATCAACCTTTATTTGTGACTCCGAGCGGCAGGAGTCACATATAAAGGTTGATGATGGTTGTGAAACTGTGTGCAGTTTTGACCATGCTTGTATCGCTACCAAAGTTGTAAATCCACCAACGGCCATGCTAGGTGGTTCATCACTTACGAAAACCGACTCTACATAGTAACGATTCCAGAGACACCCCACCAAGAAATAACGCTCTGTGCCATCCGTTTTTCAGTCCGCCGTTCTCGGCCTCGGACCCGATGAAGACGTACAACATCATCCTGAAGGGGATCGACATTATCGACTTCCCGCGGAACATTCCCAGGTCCGGGGAGCAGCTCATCAAACGACTCTGCAGGGACGTGCCGACGGAGAGACTCGGTCAGTGGGGGAGGGAGGGGTGGGAGAGGAGGGAAAAGGGAATGGTCAAGGTGCCGTAGAGCTTCTGTGTAGAATGATGATGTTCAAGGTACCTCAACTTTTGCTCTTGACCTGACTGAAATTTGCAGCTGATAAGAAAAATAAGGCAAATTGATAATAATTTATGGTCAATGCCTAAGGAAATAGGTCGACGTTGACTTCATCGTTGTATTATAATACATTCAGGAAGCGAGTCCCGATAACCACACTGTGAGCACGTTGTTATCGATAAAAGTGGCCACATTCTTCCTTCTTTCGCTCTCCACTGATCGTCCCTCTCCCTTTGACAGGCTACCAGCGGAACGGTGTGGAGGACATCCGGAAGCACCGGTGGTTCCAGGGCTTCGACTGGGAGGGCCTCCGATCCCGACAGCTTGCCCCTCCCATCATACCACAGGTGAGTCCTTCACGGAAGACGATTAGAGAGAATGGGCGATGAGCGTGGAGGTATGAGGAAGTTATGTTTATGTAGAGCGGACGTTTTCATTGGATGGAGTCATGGGAGTGCTAATTGGATAACTTTGTTGGTTCTCATCTTAGCTTCCTCGATGTGTTGAGTTATTTTTGGTGTTAATTTCAGTTAGTGCCGCAAGTTTGGACTGCGATTTACTATGTGAAACAAGCTCGTGACTAATGTTCCTAAAAACTTTTGATGAAATAAAGAAACAAATTTTATGAATTTCGCTGAATAAGACTGCCATCAGTCGTCCGTTCATCGTAAATTGACTCTCCCTGGCCCATTTCTTCATAGTGATCCGTTTTTCATTTTCGTGACGTGTTTCTCGTCTACTACAGGTGAAGGGTCCGACCGACGCGTCCAACTTCGACTGCTACTCGCGGGATCTGGAGACACCCCCGGACGAGCTATCCGGCTGGGACGAGGACTTCTGATGGCCGCTGGACTCTCAATAAGTGGCGCTGCAGTCGCCCCTATAGGTGGCGCTGCGATCGGTGGTATAGAGGACGCCACCATAGCGCGCTCCGATCGGCGCCCTGCTTCAAGCTCGTGATTGGGTCGCTGTGGTGCCGTGACGCGGGGAGGGCAGCCGCAGAGCTCAGGTGTTGTATAGGGAGTTTTGTCCTAATTTAAAAGCAGACGCACCAAAACACGTGCCTAATGGGACCGGTGACCGCAACGGCGGCCGCCGGGCTGCTTTCGGGTTTGTGTGTGTTCTCTCACCAAAGAGCGAGAATGACGAGTTAGTGAGTGACGAGTGAGAGAGTGTGAGTTTCAGTGCTTACAGTGATGAGTGATGCGGTCAACATGTGTATGTGATAGTATGCGCGTGAAAGTGGTTATCTATACGTATATGGTGCTGTTAGAACCGGATGATTGAAATGTACCGGATGTACTCGTTGGCTTGTTGTCAGGCGAGGCCGCAAATGTTGATTGATGTGAGTCATTTATAACACTGGGCTAACGTGTGGGACTGGAGAGACATGTTTATTTTTTGAAGTAGTGTCGTGATAAGCTCCTCTATATCGTATCGTTGACTGGGTGTGTTTTCTAGCTATCTGGCGTGTGTAAACCTGCCTAGATCCGGACTGATTCGGATAAATCGACAGGTTTTGTGTCAGAAAGTCGTGGTTTAGGCGTTGTACTAGCGATATTTCGAGAGAAGGTCGCTATCTGGAGGATTTCTGCTGATAAATCCGTGTTCGCCGATGCCAGATGAAAACTAGTGGCCAGCTGCGGTAGACAGTTGTTGCACGTGCTGAATTTTATCTGCGTGTTTCTGGCGTGATGGCTGCCGGTGATTTGCGTCCGATTTCAATCACGGTTAATCCCTAGTGAAGAGTCACCAATTGTGGGCGTGGTTTCACCCACCAATCAGTTGCCGTGGTTTTCCGATGGGAGATTTTCGTAGCCTGCCTGTTTTAGATGCGATAAACTTAAATTCTGAACCGTGTTTATATGAGGAAAGGAAAAACCTGTTCATTTCCGGCGATACGCTTTTCGAGATCTCTTCTACCTTTATGACACGTTATGAGCCAAAATTGTGCTTAATTTGTTAACCTCGCTGGCTGTTCCACTAATCTACGGGCCTGATAAATTCGGAACCCATTCACTTAAATAGCCTTTCTTCTTTCACCATTCCTTGTTATAAATTAGAACACTTCCCACTTCTCAGGCTTGGTATGGTTAGGGTTAAGCACCATATCCAGTGGACCAAGTGCTAACCGGAACTCTCACGCTGTTCCATTCCAAGCGAAACGACCAGGTAGCGGCATTGCTCGGGAATCGAACCCGGAAGATGACTTCCCAGCTCCCACTCTGCACTGGGACCGTGGCCGTTTCACGGCCGCTGCCGGCACGCTACCAGCGCATTTCGCTAGCTGACGTCACAGATCGTGGTAATGTTGGAGATACGACTTTGTTGATGCCTCCTGATTGAAAGTTGAAACCCAATTTGACACGTGTACAGGTCTCGCGAGATTAAGCGGTAGGTTTTGCACTTTTACATTTCCGGTTATATCTCAGAAACTAATCGATCTACGATGAAGCCATTTTACACGATCATGGCCGGCTTGTTACCCAACAAGTCGATCGCATCTTCAACACTTAAAAGCTTAAGACGACGAAGATATAGCCTGAAGTACACTAAATTTTCTAGGTGCAAAACCTACCGCTAAAACTCGCGAGACCTGTACCTAATCATAGAAATACACCTTTTTGCACTCAAAATAGGCATCTTTTCATTCAATTTCGGCGAATTGCATTCAATTTTAGCGATCTCTCTATTCGAAGCAAATGAGAGATCGCTAAAATTGAATGCAATTCGCCGAAATTGAATGAAAAGATGCCTATTTTGAGTGCAAAAAGGTGTAGTTACCGTATAATATCAGCGTGCTGGCAGCGGCCGTGAAACAGGGCCCGTCAGTGGCCACATGACGTCATTGGTCTTGACGTTTCACTATATGACGTCACCGCCCCCGCGTCTGTGATTGGCTGTAACGCAGTGCCGTCACACTCCGCCAACCCTAGGTGACCTTGAACGGCCACTGCGCATGCGCAGTAGGTACGCTGTCTGGAAAATTCGGCCGGCCAGCGACGTTTTGGCTGGGGCTCTGCTGACTGGCGGATCAGGATGGGTGATGGAAGGATCGTGGAAGGTCAGTTCTATTTGTGACAGGGAAATAGTCAAGGGGGCACGGGCGCCATGCGCCATGCCCCCCCCCCCCTTAAAGGGACCCTCCCACCTTCAAAAAAGTTAATGAATTGGCACGAAAGTGATGTCGCTCGGTGCAGAAAGAGCGAAAACGAATATCTACCAAATTTCATCGAAAAATATTCACCAGTTTTCAAGATATTAGACTTTTACTTGTGTTTACTTTTTGGGATCTCCGCTGTTCCTAGCGACTTTATTTGAAAGTGCGGCATTTGTTGCGCGCAAAGCAGCATATACCACCGCGTGCTACCAAACGTTTTAGTAAAAGATTTAAAAATCGTTAGATCTCCGCTGACGTCACAAATTCTAAGGGGGCATACCAATGCACTAGCCCCTTAGAATCCGAAAACTGCAAGTTTGAAATTCCATATCTCCGAATTAAAGCATTTGTCGATGTTGTGAGTGCCCAAACCGGTATTTGCAGGCCATGGCCACCAATTTGGCTATCTCAACTCAAAACTAATGTTAAGGTGGGAGTGTCCCTTTAACCCGCGCCGAGCCGGTGCTCTGCGACTTCCGTGCCGGGCCGGGGGGAGGGGTTCTGAACACCCCCCCCCCCCGTCTAACTCGGCTCCTGGGCCACGTAGCGACACGCAGTAAGCGGTATTCGAAAGTGCGTCAAAAAATGACGGAAACACTTTCAGTCATTTTTGGGTCAGGTCGTCAGAGGTGATCAACGGTCAAATGTAGGTAGTCTACTTCAACAATTTTGGAAACTGCCAACGGCTTACTCGAGAACCTAGAGAGCTATGGCACCGCGGAAAAGCGCATTCGATAGCTCTTTCGCCAACATGGCCTCAGATTGGACCTCAGCTCAACGGTTTAGTCTCAAACCCTAAAAATAGCCCATTTCACGAAAAATGTTTTTCGGCAATAAATTTTGACTCAGCAGAGCCATGGCATTTTTTGCCAGCATCGTGTTCTTCTCGTCAAGACGCGTCGAATGAACTTTAATTTGACCTTGAAAGGTCATTTTCAAACATTGACCTCAGGTCAAGGTCATGACCTGACCGGAAAGGGTCATGCTGCATATCAGTCGATCCTGATCCGTATCGTCGAGCTAAACACATCTGACGTGTTTTCATCGCTCTAGCACCTCTCTGTCAAAAGTGATAGTAGGGGAGAGCGGGGAGAGTTGTATCATGTCCAAGTTGTATCAGGGCGAATTGTGCCAAACTTATCCAATAGATAGCGCTCGTGACACGACCAGCCGACGAGGTTTTCCGGGCGCCATCTTTCCCTGTTCTGTCGTGTGGCTGGGTGGACGCGTCTCGGGGTGAGAGCCGATTTTATGTTTTTTTAATGTCATTCTAAAAAAATGAGTTGCAAGAAAATGTGTGTTTTGGGCATTTAGATGTGCACGAATTTGAAAGACCTCCGTAGCGGTGGTGAGGGTAGGTTCTAAGGCTGCGTGAGTGAAAATGGATTTCTCCAGCTGTACGCTGTTTTTGAGCACGAGGATGTTTTTTTCCAAGATGGCGGCGAGGTACATGTTGTATCAGAGCCGGGTGGGGTATGTTGTAACATGTATGTATGTATGGGCATGTTGCTTTTGATCGCGAAAGCTAAGCCCTGTCTCGCGTTTGTAGGTAGCTAGTCAATACTCGTTCCATTTCGGCACAATGTGTTGGCTTCTTTGCTCTTAACGGGCCACTTTTGCATCTAGTCTGTTGACGTTTCGTTCGTTTCGATGCTTCGTTCGGATTGCATTGACCTAAGTTTGGTCTAATAAAAGTGAAGCCTTTGATTGAGCATATACATTGTATTAACCCCATTTAATGTTGTTATGTTCAAAACCAGTAGCAAGCACACTCCCTGAAACGTGAAATACCTAGTGATACAAATTACCCCACCATGTGATACAACTCACCCAAGCCATGGGGCAAGTTGTATCAAAAACATTGCTCCATTCGGCAGACCGTAGAAGAAAAACTGGTAGAGGTAGCGGAAAAGTTACTTTGCACAAAAAAGCAGAAGAATCAAGGAAGGAGATAGTATGGAAATAATGAGTTTATCACGGATAGTTACGAGGTTATGGGTCTCGGAGTAAAAACTGATACAACCCACCCCACTCTCCCCTACCTAAAAAAAAAACTGCTGAATACCTTTCATGACCTGAGTTGACCTCAGGGGCACACAGAGGGGTCGCAAATGCAATTAATTTCCGATTCATTGTGTCATGTTTACTTGTGAACCGATGTTTGAGAGGTAGAACGACATTCGTCCAAAAAGAGGCGCAATTTTCTCCCATTGACTTAGGTACCTACCTTTAAAGGGACCCTCCCACCTTAACATAAGTTTTGAGTTGAGATAGCCAAGTTTGCGGCCAGGCTCAGAAACCACCATTTATCCTGGTCGCAACCCCCCGCAGCTTTATGGTGTTTAATAAATTTCTTCCCTTTACTTGCAGGGTGGGACCAGCGTGGTCCCTATCTCTTAACCATTACGGGAATCTGATGACGTCATCGGGCTTTCGAACGTCCGTTAAATGTTTGACTAAAACGTTTTGTAGCACGCGGTGGTATATGCTGCTTTGCGCGTAACAAATGCCGCACTTTCAAATAAAGTCGCTAGGAACAGCGGAGATCCCAAAAAGTAAACAAAAGTAAAAGTCTAATATCTTGAAAACCGGTGAATATTTTTCGATGAAATTTGGTAGATATTCGTTTTTGCTCTTTCTGAACCGAGCGACATCACTTTCATGCCAATTCATTAACTTTTTTGAAGGTGGGAGGGTCCCTTTAATTAACCCTCGCCCGCACATGCCATTTTCCCATCCTAGAACGCACATGGGGGGGTGGTTGCCACCCCCCCCCCCGCGCCATTTCGTTCCTGTTGGAGATAGAGCTTAGCAGTAAAGACCAAAAAGATTCTTTGGGAAGAGACGAATCCAATGATACCCAGTTTTACCTTCTCAGGTCAGTCATTGACCTTCCAGGTCAGGTCAAACTAAAAAATGTTGCTGTTTTGGGTCACCGTTGGATATCAAGTGCGCTGCTTATCAAATACCGATGACGATGCTGTTTTCTGGTGCCAAGCCAGCTAGAACCTCTTTGTCACACTATCCGACCAGAATTTTGCTGCTGAGGTCATTTCAGGTCAAGTTAGGTCAAGGTCAATTATATGTGTTTGTATGTCTGTGTGTATCTGTGTGTATACTGATGTGTGCACCGATTGTTTTCGGGTCCATATCACATGAAATCATGATCTGAGAAGCTTTTACCAAAAATGCAGTCAAAAAACTTCACAAAAAATAAATTCAGCTTGCCTAAAACGCAATTATCTTAGATGACCTAGGTTGACCTTGACCCTGACCTTGACCCCTGTACATCGTCGAACAACATGTTCCATGATAGGTGGGAGGTAAGACTGGCAAAAAAGGCCGAAATCAGGGTGTCAAAAGCTCACAAGGCCCATGGCAAACGCAAGATGTTGAGAATTGGCCATTTGGGTCATGACATGACCTGAAAAATAAGGTCATATCTCCGAAACCAAAAATCACAAAAACTTAAAATTTTCAGTGGACATCAAGAAAGGATAGACGAGCAGCTATACGAAAAATCAGCCTTCTAGCTCTAAAAATGTTGAGTGCAGAGCAGAAAGACTGCCTGGGGGGGGTGGCAACCACCCCCCCCATGTGCGGGCGAGGGTTAATTGAGAGGTCGCAAAATTGATCTGACCTTAGGTCACAGATATAAAAAATCCGATATATGCATTTTATACATAGGTACTGTTACCCTGCGCATTGCGCAATCACTGAAAATTTTCAAACTCGGATCGCTCAGTCGGTGTCGCTACGGCGAGCTTTCCAACTCTTTCTGAGGTAAGGTCACTTGACGTGACCTGGTGACCTGACTCATTGAATGATAGGGGTCTGAAGTTTTCACAACATGTGCGATCTGCGGAAAAGATGTAGGAATAGGTGTAGGTACCTACTAAAAACGGCATTCCCTAAAAACCTGAGCGGGGGCGTAGAAGCCCCCCCCCCACGGCGCGGGATAACCCCACTGACCGTATTTTTTTTGGGGGGGGCTTTTGGCATGGTGGATGGCCCAGTACGCAAGTCGTGTCACGGTGCCCAATTCCCATTCAAAAATCCTGTGTGCGCGCCCAAACTTTCCAGTACCCGCGCTTATCTGCGAATATCTCGGGTACTGGAAAGTTTGGTCGCGATCAGCCACTTTTTACGCGAGACATTCGCAAATAATACGAGGGGGTCCGTACGTACCTACCCTGAAAATTTCATGACCCCATGGGGTCATGAAATTCTCAGGGTACGTACGGACCCCCTCGTATTATTTGCGAATGTCTCGCGTAAAAAGTGGCTGATCGCGACCAAACTTTCCAGTACCCGAGATACTCGCAGATAATACGAGGGGGTCCGTACGAGTTAGTTACGACTCCCCCCCCCCCCCCCCACCCACCCCATCCTATACGGGCCAGGGATACATGTACTACTACTAGGGACATCTAGCGGCGACGTCCGTCGTCTCCCTATGGCTTGGTGCCTGTGTTATGAGCAGCTACAGGGGCGGAGCTTCCTATTCACTTGGTGGGGTGGCCGCCCCACCAACTTGCCATTTTGCCCCACCAATAAGAGTTTTGCCCCACCAACTTAAGCCGATTTGCAAGACTTTACTGCTTAGCAAACCAATGTTTTTCGCATTGAGGAGCTTTGAAATGTCTGTGTAATGCAAAATATTATCTCTGTAATGAAAAGAATTGATTCATCGTTGTATTTTATCGAACTTAACAATCGGACATTGTAGGTTTGACAACTTTTTGCCCCACCAACTTTCCTGGAAAAGCTCCACTCATGAGCAGCTATAGTGGACTCGGGGTCCGGTAGTTTTTGGCCACAGGTGGCAGCACTTTTGGCAACTAAGGGTTATCTATACCGTCACTAGGTGGCAGTAAAATCTTGTTTTGGGAGCGTAATTGGCGCAGTTGATGCAATTGTGATCAGCGTTACCGCTGCTAGGGAAATTTCCCTTTTCTATGGAAATCAGCGAAGATCTAGGGATATATGGATTTCACACGAAATTTAGGGAAATACCACCAACCCGAAAAATGATTGTTTTTTAAACAATCGAAATCATTGTCATGAATTATTCTTCCTCATGTCATACCAAATAAAGATAAGAACATTTTTCAAAAATTTAGGTTAATAAGACCCTGTTTTTAAAGACATAAAGGGAATTGCATACCTACCTATGTATGCATGTATATATAATTCTTGCTATTATTCTGTGAGAAATATCGTTTCCATCTGCTCTGAGCGGCTAATCGGCGACACTCATTATTTCCAGCGACGGGAAGCGCCCCGTCAGTCGGCCCGGAGGCCAAGGCCGCCACTCACACAGTCCACACCACACTCAACAACATCCACTCTCCAACACTCCACTCAACATGCACAAGTAAGTACCTACGTAAGAATGACTCAGACCGGACGGTCTGCCCCAGCCAGCTCTCTTGGAGCTGTGCTGTGGGGACAAGGTGACGTGACGTCTTCTAGGAAGTCCGTTTAACTTGCCGAACTATTCGGTATATGGTTGAACTGTTTGTTTTGTCTTTCGGCTACCCATTCGGTTATCTCTTTCGCCCTTTTTTTTGGTGACCGTTGACCGCCGTTGTCCGGTCTCACTGCGCTGTTTGTGTTTCAGCCTGCCCGCCATCATGACGCTGACCAGGGAGCCGATTGGCTCGGCTTGGCGGCAGCAGGCTGTTCTTTCGGCACTCTTCCGGCCTCTACAATATCGGCATACTCGAGTGCGATAGCAACTCGAGTGAGACTGATTTTCGGTCTTCTTTCGACACTCTTCCGTCTTCTTCGATATCAGCCTGTGCTAATGCAACGGCTATTCGTGCAGGACTGATTTTCGGCCTTGTCTCGTTTAATGACTCGATCGCTTCCTTTTGACATTTTGGTTTCGACTTCATCTTTTGGCTCATTTCAATATATCTACTTTTTGTTCATGTCTGTGTGCTGGTGGAATGGATAGTGTTAGAAGAAGAGGAAACACACACATACATCGATCTTGTTTTCAGTGCAGTAGTTAATATCCCTAGACAACACATAGAGTAATATAGTGAAGGACACAATCCCCTAGACATATCTAGCGATAAGACAGCAATGCAGCATAGCAGCATATACAAAGGGACGACTTTCAAATTACATTGGGGGCTCGTCCGGGATATCAAACTCTGTTCTGCTCGAACAGGACCCTGATTGTATATGCCGTTGATTCATTGCATGTTCTTGCTTGTAAAGTTTTCAGGTTCTTTGTTGTTCCAGAATGATTCGTGGATCTTCGTTGGTGTAGCTTGCTGCTCGTGGTTCGTAAACTTTCCGTTTCACCGTGTTCGTGAAACATGAATTGACTGGTCAAATTTGTGTATTTCCAGTTCCAGTTACCTTTATTTGATGGCGAATGGCTCGAGTTCCAGACTCTACTAGGTTCGCCAGGCCAATTGTTGGTCCGCATGCTGCATGGGCAACCTACATCGGACGCACCGTCGAGGTCACCATCTCTTGAAGTTCAATTGATTCAGGTTAGTCTTGCTTACTTCTGTGGGTCTACTTACTTTGCCTTCTGGCGATACGCTACTCGGTCGTATACCTCGCAAATCAATTCGTTCGCATCGTTGGCATGACAGCAAATGGCTATTTAACTCATGGTATAAAAGAATGTCCAGATATGCTCTATGGATTACATCCATTCGATTCCTTTGACTTGAATATGTGTTCGGATGATACTTACTTGGTATAATTGAACTTTATCAAGAAGTTGCCCGTAAGGCGCTCATATAATGCCGACTTGGTGTTATTGAGCTGGTCCATCTGTTTGATCTGATAACATCGGCTTTGTGTTCTTATTTTTTCATGAATTTTTACGCTCAGACGTTACTGACTTGGCATTAGGTAGCTAACTCTGACTTCGTTGTCATTGGACGTTCTGATGACACCGACTTGGTGTCATTGAACTCTGGGGTAGTTGCCATAGGATGTCTGCAGTGACCAGGTGCATTGCAGCGCAGTGGTCAGCTAGCTGGTTCGGGGCAATAACTATCCACAGATAAAAACAACGCGAGTTCGATCATCTGATCGCCAAACCGGATATACCATTCGATCAGCTTTCAAGATCGCGGAAGTATCCCATGATCAAGGTTCCGGAGTTCAGAGGTTCGTTGTCAGAGGTCCGTTGACATAACCTTACATGGCCCTGACACAGTCCGAAGTGTCATTGTGACTGAGTGGATTGATGCCTCGCTGACATGATTAGTTATTCTTTTGGGTTTTTAACTGGTTGGTCACTGGTAGAGTTGCATTATGGCTGAGTTGTTGACAAGGTTCAGTGTACAAGATCGGTTCAATGTTTCACAGTTTGAGATGTCATTTATTTGTGAGAGTACAACGTCGTTTACATCTATTCAGTTCTTACACAGGAATTTCAATATTTCAGAGCATGTGGCAGGTTTCCGGTAAGTCGAATTCAGGTGAAGTAATTCTCTCTGTGTTAGACCCTTTGCCCTAGTTGATAGGTAAATTTTGTATTAATTAGTCATTATTTTGGTTAACATTGGACGGCAATATACTTTTAACTTTGCTTCGGTTCAAACAGACAGTCATCTCATCAGTCAGTTGAGGGTTGTGATTTGTGAAGATAATCCCAGTCAACATTGGTGATACTCCCGTCCAGTTGGGAAGTATTTGACAGAATGATAAACGCATTTGGTATTTGGCGGGTGATGTGCTGGGCCAGAAATGTGGTTTCCGTTTATTGAGTAGGTCGTGCCGTCTGCCTACGTCCCTGAGAGAAGGGCGAGTGCTAGGTAGGACGTGCAGCCTACAGACGTCTCTTGGAGGAGGACGTCACCGGACCGTCTGCTCGCGGGGAGCAGGACGGCAGTCGCGGCCCGGACGCGTAGGAGCTGAGGAGAACTGGTGATAGGGCCTGCCCCACCTATCTACCAGAGTGAGTAGCATGGCAGAGGGTGGTCCTCTGGGGGTCCATGCCCACCGAACATACACCGGCCGGGTATGGGTGGAATTCTCGGTCAGCTTACGCTCTAGGCATAAGGGCTGGGCGTGCAGTGACGGGAGCAGCAGGTCACTGGCACAGGCGACAATCCATGCTGAGGAGGTGTTCCTGGCATGTGAAAAACGGAACCATTTGAGCGTGTAAGGCGGCAAACCCCACCGCAAATACACTGCTACCGGAGTATAAAGAGTCGAACACTCCGGCGACTACAGGAGAGATGAGGCCAGCAGCGGACCCGACCAACAATTTACTTGCTTCAGGAGGTGACCGCAGCATCGATAAGGAAGGTGGGTTGTTTTATATCCGAGATAGGATGACTCGGTTGACTTGTTTGGCACTGCTCAGGAGTTGCTGGAGCAGCAACCCGACTTACAGCTTAATGACTTTGGAAGGTAGTCGCAGCAGTCGATCGGAAAGGTATGATTCACATTCAAGGTTAGATGGTTAGATGATTAATTGGCTGCTTGTTTTATTGCACAGGTGTTGCAGAAGCAGCAAACCCGACCAACACCATAATTACTTTAGGAATGGTACTTCAGGAATTGACCAGTGTCGGATAATTGACCACAGTGTCGATAAGACAGGTGTCTTAGGAAGATGACTCGGTTGCTTTGCTTCGTTTGCACAGGTGTTGCAGAAGCAGCGAAACCGATCGACGTTAACTTGTTTCAGAAGATGACCGCAGCGTCGATAAGAAAGGTGACTTGGTTGCTGTGCTTCGTTGCACAGATGTTGCAAAAACAGCAAACCCGACAAACAGTTGAAATGTGAGTAGACTTCAGGTGACTGCAGAGGGAAAGATAGTGTTTAAGACGGAAAGTGGTTTTCGTCTCGTTTTATCTCCATTCCATGGCAGGAGGTAGTACGACTCGAATCCTTGCTTAGCTGCACTTTGCAAGTCATAGCAAGTGCAAAACTCTTCAGGAGTCCATCCCGTGGCTCATCTCCAGAGTAGGAAGATAGACATAAATGCTTCATGTCCTGCTTCATCGTGAATTACTGCGTGGGTCTTGCAGTTGAGATAACAAGGCAAAGAAAAATAGTAATTCGGCCGTCAGCAGTTACCAAGTGAGCTGACTGAAGCCGAAAGGTTTCGATTTCAGCGCAGGTACGAGGCACGAGACGTCCCGAGGGAAGGTCTTGCCGGTAAAGCTAAACCGAGCAGAACCGCAACGGTAAGGGACAATGCAAAATTTACGAAATATTGGATTGATTTCGTTGTCTCGACTTTCGAGTAACACTTACGTTAATGTTTTATAGCAAGATTCTGGAGTAGCATCAACTGTGCAAACTGACCACACCTTTTCCTGTGGAACGATTTAAATATGAACCCGAAAGCCTATGTAGTTAGAACCTGCAATCCTATGTGAACTCGTTCAGCACTCATGTGAATCATTTGGCAATCCCAAAGCTGAACGAAGGGTCAACGTCATATTGAATGGAAGGTGTACCAGTTACTGTGGTTGACTTTCGTTGTATTGTCTGCAACAGACACCGCGCTGCCGAGTGGAGGTCCTGATGGATTTATCCAACCCTGCATGGAGCGCCACCGTCTCGTGAGTGACCAGCGACGGTGATGTCGGGTCACGAACAAAAGTAAGAACAACCCTTGAGATCAAAAGATCAAAGCCAACGGGCATGTGCTCACTTGTTAAAGTCAAGCAGACGAGTTTGCTACAATCTGCTTCAGCGTATGCATGAAGGTCGTGATAAGGGTCAGTTGGTGCTCGAGGTATAAGTTGTGGTGAAGCAACAATCTTGTGCATTGCCTTGAAACTAGATCCAGCGACATGGATCTGTGCAGACCAAAAGATGCGCGGGCATAGAACCGGCATAGACAATAGGACAAACTGCTCGTGTGCTGCGATGCTCGCATCGTCTGGTCCCTCCCAATGTCCTCAGGTCATTGGAGCCAGCAGCAGAGTGCGTCCTACACAGGTATCTGAGATACCAAAAGGTCTACAAGCACCACCAATCTCTCGGCATGTCAGATTGACTTCAGCCTCAACACCTCACCCGAGCCCTTAGGACCAACATCTCGATGCTGAGTGCTGCCAGAAGTCGGAAACGCATCCTTCTGTTCTAACGGAGGCAAACGATCACTTGCCCGTCGGTTGTAACTTATCTCCTCCAGGTGTGGCGGCCATAAAGCAGACGGATGGACCCATCACGTTATCACTCGTGAGTTTTTAAAGTCGAAGCCCGTATTGGGAATCGTTAACAAGCGTACCCTTTACATTGCACGAATGACGACATGCTCCTTTGTAAATCGTTTCCGGTAAACCACGAAATTCCCATCCCAGAAACAGTCCACAGGTCAGTAGCAAGGAGATGTGGTTCCCAGAATAATATAAATGTAAAGGTGCAGTGATTGCCTTTCTCCAAGATTTTGTATCCAGCAGCACTACCACGGTGCAATGCTAAAGCTGAAGCTAAAGTCGTGTGATCTTATCTATCAAGCTATTAAGTGATTATGTATTTTGCACTATTGTCATATTTGTCGAAAGGCACAAAACAGTTAAAACAGTTAAAGACGCCGCATTTGCCATTGTCTACAAGTCAAACTCGGTTTGACCCAGTCAGACTGTAAGTCTATTATTACGTACGTATACCCGTTCACCCCCTAAGGTTACAGTTCTTCGTTCGCCATAAAAATGGGAGGGATGTGAGAAATATCGTTTCCATCTGCTCTGAGCGGCTAATCGGCGACACTCATTATTTCCAGCGACGGGAAGCGCCCCGTCAGTCGGCCCGGAGGCCAAGGCCGCCACTCACACAGTCCACACCACACTCAACAACATCCACTCTCCAACACTCCACTCAACATGCACAAGTAAGTACCTACGTAAGAATGACTCAGACCGGACGGTCTGCCCCAGCCAGCTCTCTTGGAGCTGTGCTGTGGGGACAAGGTGACGTGACGTCTTCTAGGAAGTCCGTTTAACTTGCCGAACTATTCGGTATATGGTTGAACTGTTTGTTTTGTCTTTCGGCTACCCATTCGGTTATCTCTTTCGCCCTTTTTTTTGGTGACCGTTGACCGCCGTTGTCCGGTCTCACTGCGCTGTTTGTGTTTCAGCCTGCCCGCCATCATGACGCTGACCAGGGAGCCGATTGGCTCGGCTTGGCGGCAGCAGGCTGTTCTTTCGGCACTCTTCCGGCCTCTACAATATCGGCATACTCGAGTGCGATAGCAACTCGAGTGAGACTGATTTTCGGTCTTCTTTCGACACTCTTCCGTCTTCTTCGATATCAGCCTGTGCTAATGCAACGGCTATTCGTGCAGGACTGATTTTCGGCCTTGTCTCGTTTAATGACTCGATCGCTTCCTTTTGACATTTTGGTTTCGACCTCATCTTTTGGCTCATTTCAATATATCTACTTTTTGTTCATGTCTGTGTGCTGGTGGAATGGATAGTGTTAGAAGAAGAGGAAACACACACATACATCGATCTTGTTTTCAGTGCAGTAGTTAATATCCCTAGACAACACATAGAGTAATATAGTGAAGGACACAATCCCCTAGACATATCTAGCGATAAGACAGCAATGCAGCATAGCAGCATATACAAAGGGACGACTTTCAAATTACAATTCCAAAACAAACTGCTTCTGCGTTGTTCCATTTCGGGTGCGGCTAATTTTTCACATCAAAGTTTTATTTTGGCGCAATTTTTACAATGTCTACTTCTAGCGCATATCACTTCCTTACGGTCAAACTGACGGTGCAAAATAATGCATCGACTCGTCTCTTACGCCAGCACTACCGCTACCCATACGATGTTGGTAGTTTCCCGCGTCCCACAACACACCACAATTTGCGATATACCACGCAATTATATTATACCACATACAGTAATTTGCTATATGCCAGCAATTTCATAGGAATCTCTTACGTTAACCTTCGCCCCAGTGGGGGGGGGGGCATATGTTACCACCCTGTCGCGTTTTTTGCGTGCGAATAAAAAACCGCGGCGCGTAGCGCCGCGCCGCTTGGGCTAGCTTTTGGTACATCAATTTTGGACAATGTGTGAAACTTTTGACCCCAGGTCATGTCAGGTCAGGTCACCAGGTCAAGTTAACTGACCAGGCCTAAAAAAAAGTTTGCAATCATGTCCAGCCTGCAGTGTTTGTCAGAAAGGTTTGAAACTTGGTGGATTGCATGCTGCTATGAACGCCTACAATTTGTATATCTCGGATTTTTCATATTCGTGACCTAAGGTCAGATCAGTGGCGTGACCTTTCCATTACAAGTCAATGGAGAAAAATGAAAATGCCTCTAGATCCGTGTGTACGCATCGGAACAGTCCAAATATTTCAGAATCACAATGATTTAGTCCACTCGTGATGACCAAGGTGTCATTTTTGCTGATAGCCTCTAGACAGGTCATCCGAGGTCACTTGAGGCTACAAACAGTTTTTTGCCAATAACTCGCGATTGGAAAGAGATAGAACGCTGGGGATGGTCTCATTGTGTTTGTCTTGTTGAGACGCATCGACTGATATGCAACATGACCTTTTCCGGTAAGGTCATGACCTTGACCTGAGGTCAAATTTTCAAGTTGACCTTTCAAGGTCAAATTATAGTTCATTCGACGCGTCTCGGCGAGGGGAACACGATTCTGGCAATTGAAATGTCGTGGCTTTTTGTAGTCGAAAGTTATTGTCGAAAAACACTTTTCGTAAAAACAGCTATTTTTGGAGTTTTTGCCCTCTGGAGGCTAAACCGTTGACCTGAGGTCAATATTGATAATGACCTTTTCAAAAGAAGAGTTCAAAAGCTATCGTTTGCTCTGCCATGCGTTTTTCTAGCTACCATAGTTCCTGAGATAAGCGGCATGTTTTCTGAAAAATATAATGACAATTGGTAAATTTTGACATTTGATGACCTCTGGTGATCCCAATATTGCTCTAAGGTGAAAAATGACCGAAATACTTTCAAACGTACGCATTGAGAGCTATCGACTGCTTTTTACCGCGTCTAGCCCTCTTAGTTTTTGAGTTAGAGGTGGGTGGTAACATATGCCCCCCCCCCCCCCACTAGGGCGAAGTTGGCTGAGACCGCCACTGGGGCGCGGGTTAACGTTACAGAATGTAGTTAATTGCTGTTTTAGGACGCAGCGACGACTATAACACGAATGGTCAAAATGAGGAAAGTACGTCAAATTCCATGAAAATAACCGCATCTAGGGAAATGGTTTTTAAAATAGGGAAATTTTCGTGAGAATCTGGGGAAACCAGCGAGACGCCAGCGGTAACGCTGATTGTGATTGCTTGCATTCCAATCGAAAATTCTTGCTTTGGGATGTCAATTCAGTTTAAATTTGGATTTTTACTTTAAACAATTCAGGAGTTCCAATTCATTACTTTTCAGGATCTCCGTGAGTTCAGATCAGGGGGGTACGCTCCGGCTGTTTAACATTACGAAAAGTGGTGACAGACGTTTGTGGAGGATTGTCGACGAACTCTTGTTCCGCGAGCAGCACTCACGCGCTAGCGGAAAATCCACCAATCAGCGCCCGGCAGTGCTCGACGCTGATTGGCCCGACGCTCGTGACGAAATTGCGGGGGACCGCAGTTATTCTCTATGGACTCGAATAGGCTTTTGGATTTCGGAGGGGTTTCTTTAAGATTATATGCTGTTTCGAGCTGTTTTCGAGTTGAAATATATTTCTTATGACTGTTAGCTATATAATGGCACCATAAAATCATGATTTTAATTAATATTACCGATGTAATATCGGCCGAAAAGACATGCTGTCTTGGCACGGACTGCCCTGCAGCTGATGTGGGGCCTCTAGTGCCAGCGTATGGTAATAATGGGCTGACGAAGGGTTATTGGAGACTCTTAGAGACCCACCAGGATTCAGTATAGGGTCATCAGAGGCCGGGAACATCCATCAGGGGTCTGAGTAGGCCTGCCATAGGGGCATGCATGACACATCATGGAACATGGGTCAATCTAGATCCATTAGGGGCTGTTGAAGTGCCATCATTGTTCAGCGTGGGCCCGCAATCACCTCTGATGGGCATATGCCGTGCCCCGATGGACTAACGCTGGCCCCCGATAAACCATCACCAGCCCCTGATAGGTCTACAAAGCCCCCTGCTGGGTCTAAATTGGTCACTGATATGCCCTAATGGGCCACTGAGAAACCCGTACAACATCCCCTGACTGCACCTGATGGACCAATGCCGTCCCCTCATGGGCCCACCAGGCACCACGGCTCTTGAATGGCCTCTTCAAGTCCCTGAAGCGCCTTTATTGGCCTAAATGGACCCCTGATTGGCTTATGTGGTCCCTAATGGTCCTATATGGCCCCATGAGCCCTCAACGTCCCTAGACAGCCTTACATTATATGCCACCGGTCCCTGGTAGGCCTGCACTGGACCCAATAGGCCTATACCGACCCATAAAGGGCCCATGTCGAGCCCTCATGGGCCTCCGATGACCACACGCCGGCATGTGTGGCCCCATCAGCAGTGGTCCGTCTATCCCATGTACTTACGGTCTTTTTGGCCGATGTGACACCGGTAGTATATAGAAATATCATGATTAAATGTCGTTATTATATAGTCAAAGGTCACGGAAAGAATATCCAAGCTCAAAAATGGTCTCAAACCCAACAAAAACTGATACAAATCCCCTTCAAAAGTCATAAGTCAATGAAACACCATAGGGGAATAGCTGCAGTCCCCCGCAATTTCGTCACGAGCATCGGGCCAATCAGCGTTGAGTATTGCCGAACGCCGATTGGTCGATTTCCGCTAGCTTGTAAATGCTGCTTGCGGATATAGTCTTGAACAAGTGAGGGTCGCGGCAACTAAATATTGCTTGTCACCACTTTTTCTTCGGGAGCGTTCTACCTGGTTTATATAGCCTTGGTTCAGATTATGATCGTTACTGTATAAATAGTGTGAAGGGATTCATATTCATTTCCTGCCCTTGAGAGCTACCTACCTTCAGTTTTTGCAATTTTTATGTAAATTAAACATTTATCATGGTGACCATTTATGTATAAGCTTCACTGCTGGTGAAGTATTATTTTTACAGGGCATTTAAATTGCAAGGTTGATAATATTCTAAAGTTGTTTTTAAGTGCATGTAAACCGTAGGGAAAAGTCCGCAGTCAGGTAAGGTTAGGCAATAGGCTATATCAATATTGATGTTTTGTGGAGCATACTGTTAATGAATTACTTCGCGAGTTTCAGCAGGCAACTCGCTTTTGCGGCATCTGCTGATTTGCGGCATTTTGTAAATCAAAGTAAATCAAAGATAACCTGACTCAACCTAATTACAGCTTACTTACACCTACATCAGTTGGGCAAACTAGACTTTTGGAATCAAAATATGGAGGCATCAATAATTTGATTCTGGTGGGAGGAGCCATGACCAAATATGGGCATGGAATCAATTTTTTGATTCATTTGGGTCAGTGGCGGCGGAAGATAATTTTGGATGGGGGTGCAAAGTTTTCTCAAGGGGCCCCTCTGGAAGTTTTGGGCCCCCTTCAGTTTTTTTTTTATAGTGATTATTACTGATTTATGAAAAACGAAGATTTTCAAAACTATCCCCATACACACAAGTTCTGTAAAAGGCTTGAAATTGCAGTGTACCTACCTGTCTCAAATAATGAAAGCATAAAGAAGCAAATGCAGCTAGCTTTTTATCAATTAATCTTTTAGTCTAGCCACCACCCGCAGCGTCTCAAACCACTTTTCTGGATCCGCAGTGGACCATTGAGGGCCCTACGAGACCGTTCCAAGAAGACCGCTTTTAGAAGCCCCTTGGAAACCGACCACATAGAGACTCCTCCAGAGACCTACATGACTCCCCAGACTGAATGAGCCCTCCGATCAGGGTCGGTCCCTTGAAAGTTGCTGAAAGGTTTCAAAAGGCAGTATAGGTTCGACAGTCTTTTGAGGGCTCTCAGAAACCGGCATCGAACCCCAAAAAGCCTGTATGGAGGCACTCCAAAGCCGGGATGGAGGCCACAGGAGCCGATGTTTAGCCTAAACAGCCGGTATGGAGGACTGAATAGAGGAAAGGGGTCTCAGTGGGGCCTTCAGGGGCAAGCGTTTGAGCCCCGAAAGTATGTGTGGGGTCTTAGAGGCAGGTAGACCCCTGGGGTATGCACGGGGTCCCAGGAGCTCGCGTGTGAGCCCTAATATTCGGCTGGCGGCTACTAGAACCAGCATATGTAGGGATTCTTAGAAGCCGCTTAGACCCACACTTCATGGGTCATGAGTCCCAAGAGTCGATGTAGGGGCCATAAAAGCCGGTGTAGGGCCCATGGCCCCATAAGTTCCGACATTGAGACTCTCAGAGGCCGGCAACAGGGCATCAAGAGCCGATAAAGTGCCTCAAAAGCCGACATGGGGCATGAGAATCAGTGTGGAATTCCAGGAGCCTCAAGCCTGCGTGAGCTCTCGGAGACCTTCGTATTTTGTAAGGTCCACATAGATCGTTGGATCCTCTGAATCTGAACTCTGCGGGGCCCTCAGAGGCTAGCATGTCTCCTGGCACCTGCCTGCGTTGAGTTGAGACCCTCCGAGGCCGTCGTAGGGTTCTTCAGAGGCCAGCGTTGGCCCTTGAAGCCTTCGTTAGGCCCTAGAAGCCGTCAAGAGGGCCCTCAGAGGTCAGCATGGCCCCTGGAGCCTGCCTGCGTCGAGGCCCTCAGAGGGCGTCGTGGGGCCCTCAGACGCCAGTGTGGGCCTTTTGAGCTTGCGTTGGGTCTTAGAGACCATCGTGAGGGCCCAGAGAAGGTCGTCAGGGCCCTCAGCCCCTCAGGGACCGTCCTGGGGTCCTCAGAAGTTGTTGTGAGGGCCCTTAGAAGCATTTGAAAGGATCATCAGAGGTCGTCATGAGGGTCCTTGGCCATATTGAGGGTCTTCATGGGCCCTCAGATACCTTTGCAGGGCTCTCAGAGGTCTTGGTAAGACCGCTAGAGGCCATCGTTTTTAGGGCCCTCAATAGACCGTTGCAGAGCCCTCAGATGCCAGCATAGCCCCTGCAGCCTGGTTGTGTTGGGGCCCTCAGAGGCCGTCGCTGGACCGTCTGAAGCCAAATGGGCCCTCAGACTTGAGTTGGGTCTAGGGCCGTCACGAGGGCCCTCAGAGACCGTCGTAGAGGCCCTCAGAGGCCAGTGGGGCCCCTGGAGTCCTGTGGGACCCTCAGCAGTCGTCATGAGGGCCCTTAGTGGTCGTTATAGGGCCCCAGGGGACAGAGTTCGTCGTGAGAGCCCTCAGAGATCATCGTAAGGGCCCGCAGAGACCGTCATAGGGGACCTCAGAGGCCAGCGTGGCCCCTGGAGTCTCCTTGGGGCCCTGGAGTCTCTGTGGGACCCTCAGCGGTCGTCATGAGGGCCCTTAGTGGCCGTTGTAGGGCCCCAGGGGACAAAGCCCTCAGGTGGGAGCCCTCAGAGATCGTCATAAAATGGCCCTCTGAGGCCGTCGTGGGGGCCCTCAGATGCCGCGTTGAGTACCAAACGCGGCTCGGGACACTTCTAGCCGGTGTGGGGGCCCCAAAGACTACATAGCATGGGGCGCTCCTGACCATATTGGACATCCCGGATGATTCCACATCAGTGTTCGTTTCCCGATCACTGGTTTTCAGGAGAAAATGTATTGGATTGTGCGACGGGCCCCTTATACGGATTTTGGGGGTGCAAAAAGATATGTTTGCACCCCCATGTTTTTCGATGGGGGTGCAGCTGCACCCCCTGCACCCCCTATTCCGCCGCCACTGATTTGGGTACACTTTTGACTTCAAATGTATCGTTACAGTTGAAAAAAGGCCCATGACCGTGAGATTTTTCTTAAAAAAGGTAGACAAATGTGGTAACTGGTAGGTTTGCAAAAAGTGTTACCTCAAAACTAAGAAATTGTCCCTTTGGCCTTGTGAATGGGAAAAAGACAGAGGCACTGCCCATCACGTAAAAGCTGTTTTGAGGAAATCACACTGTATTTATTATATGGTTTTTACCTGTTGCTTCAGTTTTTGCATTCTTGACATTTAAAAATTGTGAATTGTTATCAAATGTAGTGAAGGTAAAGTACAACAATGCTATAGGTATCTGTTGTGGTGCTGAGGATACCACTAAATGAGAATAATAGCAAGATAAATGCTGTAATCTTGCAAGTCATTGTTGCCTATCTGTTAACATTACCTGTGAATCAAAATAATGATTAGCCAGCTGATGGGAATTAATATTATGATTATCTGTTTAAAGTGAATCAATTCCTTGATTGCCTTTCACTACCTATAGAATTCAAATTGTTATGATAGGAGCAATATTATTTTGCTTAGGAGATACTTCCAGCATTTCTGTTCAAGATCAGGCATGCTCCTTCTTGAAACACTCTCTTATTTTTATGTGTTTGGTAAGTTAGAAATGGTCTGCATTTATGCCCAAATATGGTCATAAGGAATCAATCTTTTGATGCCTCCATATTTTGATTTGAAAGGTCTGGTTTGCCCAACTGACATAGCAGTCTTCACCCTCTGGCATCTAAATTCTGATCATCTCCCAGTCACACACTTTCCACTGTTCACGGACCATCATCCCCTCCCTCTTCCCCTTCTCTTTTCTCTCAGCTCCTGCCTCCTCCTTTCTTCTATGAGCTGGCCCTCTCCTTTCACTCTCCTCTCCTCCTCTCCCTCTCTTCTGTCAGCTCATTCCCTCTGCTAACTCTTATTGCTAACATCTGACCCTCCCCTTCTGCTGCAGGTCTTTATAATGGCAGCCGCAGCAGCAGCAGCGGGCGGCGTGCCCTCTCAGCAATGTTTTCTGCTCTCCGTCACGGGACAGGTGGAGTCAGCCCGCCTGGCCGGCGCCGACCAGCTCTACTGCCGGTATCAGCTGCACGGAGGGCCCGACTGGGATATTGTCACGGTGAGAATAACAAACAGAGATATCTCTACTGCCGGTACCAGCTGCACGGAGGGCCAGACTGGGACATTGTCACGGTGAGAATAACAAACAGATATAGCTCTACTGCCGGTATCAGCTGCACGGAGGGCCAGACTGGGACATTGTCACGGTGAGAATTACAAACAGATATATCTCTACTGCCGGTACCAGCTGCACGGAGGGCCCGACTGGGATATTGTCACGGTGAGAACTGGGGATAACTCTTGAGGCTGGAACACAGCTTTCCTGCATGCAGATCGCTCCTCGCTCTTCCCACTGGCCAGTGACCGTTGGAATACATGGTATATTTTTCACTCGCAAATCGCAGCTTAAAGCGCTGCGATTTGGGGTGCAATATATGCCAGTGGGAGGAGCAAGACCTGACTGCTATTTACACACATAAAAGCTGTAGTACAGTCTTCAGAAAGAGCTTCTCTTTTAGAGCTGATCCAGGCCGATACAGTAGTCCATCTAATTGCCTGTGAATGATGATGTCTCTAAGCCCCACTGAGTTTGTTCTGATTTCCCGTAAAACTAATCCTCTCGGAGCAGAACTCGCAAAATGTGACCCTCTGTGCCCCCTTTCCACCCCACCGATAGGGTCTGGAGGAGGGTATCTCGCAGGTGAGCCGTCCCAGCCAGGACGCCCGCCAGCTGCTGGTCTGGAACCTGCCCGTCGAGGTCTCCTACAAGGCTACCAACCCTTACGGATGTCAGTGGGGAACTACGGCGGACAGGGTAGAGCTATTCAGTAATGGAGACAGAGAGAGATAATGAGAGGGATACAGATCGCGAGAATGCTGTCGTGCAAAAGCAAGAATGATTACGTCAGGTCAGGCCGGCCTGAGGTAGTGACCGCTGATCCGACGTAATCGTTTTTGCCTTTGCACGACAGAGGGGTCAAAATATTAGATCAGAGGTCATTACGTTAGGTCAGATGTCACTGGAACGTAATCGTTTTTGCCTTTGCACGGAAGAATGTTCGGGAGGCGGCAGGAGGAGGGGGGGAGGGGTCTGTTGTTTTGTTTGTAGCAACACAGTATGCCCTACACTTGCTTCGGACAGAATATCTACACTCTCGAGTGTTTTCTTCTGTGCCGACTACTAACTGCCGTCTGTTTTTTGCTGTGCTGTCAGGGCCTCAGCTGATTGTCAGCTGCTATGGACCGGACCTGTTCGGCAATGACGTCATCAGGGGGTACGGTGTGTCCCACCTGCCGACCGCCGCCGGCGCGCACCGGGTCACGTGAGAGACAGGGGGGGTCAGGTCAGCTCAGCCCGGCTCAGGTCTGGTCAGAGGGAGTAGTGGAGGGTAGTGGTAAAATCCACCAGATCACGTGGGAGACAGGGGAGGGGGCGGGGTCAGGACGCAAGGGGAGTAGGGGAGGGGGTGGTTAAATCCACCGGATCACGTGAGAGGTGGGGTCAGGTCAGCTCAGCTGGTCTGGTCAGCTTAGAGGACTACGTGGAGGATGGTGGGAAAACAGCTCAGCTGAGATCGCAGTTCAATCTTGGCCAGTTTATATGACATATTGAATATCGATCCTCTCTCGAACATCTTACAATGTACGGTACCAAGACTTCCTCCTTCCGTCCTGCCCCACTTTATCTGCCCTGTTTCTCAATTCTATTCCCCATTCTCCCCGATATTGACACTCACTAACCATTCTTTTCCCCACTGAGTGTTAAATTGTCTGACTATTGTAAAGGATGTCGCTCTTTATGTCACGCCATATGTGTTTGTGACCATCCCTCCCCCTCCCCAGGATGCCAGTGTTTGTGTTTGTGACCTTCTCCCCTCCCCAGAATGCTGCTGTTTGTGTTTATGTTTGTGAGTTGTGACCGTCCCTCCCCCTCCCCACTCCCCAGGATTCCGCTGTTTGTGTTGGTGTTTGTTTACGTGTTTGTGACCATCCCTCCTTCCCCAGGCTGCCGCTATTTGTTCCCGAGTCGACGTCTCAGCTGCAGAAGCTGGTGTCGTGGTTCACCGGCCGCCGACCGGAGCTGGCCGACGCCTCCTCACTGGCTACCGGAGACGGCAGAGACGGTACGTGTGAGTTTAGACGGTAGCCGGGACCGTAAGACGGACTGTCTACCACTGGTAGGACGGTAAGGTTTATCGTCTTTGATCGTTTGTTGTCTTATTTATTCAGCCCATTAGCGTGCTATGCCTATGACTGTTGTGTCTAAAACCAATCAAACCACGAATATATATAATTTTGCTTTTGTAGAATATTTTGAAGTCTTGAGAAGGCTGCCAACAAGCAACAAGCAGAGATAACGAGCAACGACGCCATTCACTTTCACTATATCGCATTGCTCCGGAGTTTGCTTTTCCTTTGTGCTGCCCTCTGTAACTAGACAGGTGCTGCCACCTGCATGGACTTGTGCCAAGCTAATGGAGTATAGTGCTGCCACCTACAACTGAATGTTTGACTGGTGCTGCCCTCTTGCAGTGATGCGGGTCCGCTCTCAGGGCTACGTGACCTGCAGTTTTCAAGTGGTGACGAAGGATCTGCAGCGGCTCGGCTACGATAACGGACGGCGCGCCCCGGCCGGCGCCGCGGGCGGTGACCTGCAGCCGGCCGGCGGTGGCGACGGCCGGCCCGGCTGACCGCTCCGGGTCACCGAATGGGGACGGGATGGGGGCGAGGAGGGTTGGTTAGGCGTAGCATATCATTTACTTCTGGTGTCTCGCACTACGCAGAACGATCCGTCCATTCAAAGCACGTACAAATCATTACATTGTGCACCGTTCACTGCACCATCTAGTCCGCTGAAGTGTGTCGACTGAATGTGAAATACTAGTCATGCTTTTCATCAAGAATGTTTGCAAGCATTTCACTGTAACATATCATTCACCTGTTGTGTCTCGCGTTGCGCTGACCAGATCCGTCCATACGCTCGTACAAACCAGTGTGACAAAAGACGTTGATCAGATGGCTTCGTGCCTCTAGTCCTGCTCGCATGGGATTTGTGCTAATGCTGTCATCGCTGATTCTGAGGAGTTTGAGTCGGAAAACAGTGCCAGTAACTTTAACGTGACATTATGTTACAGTTATGCGCTTATATGCTGTGTTGAGTGGTCTCGCTTCGCTACATGCGTAGCATTTGTGTTTTTGTGTGAATGGTTGGGATGAAAAACTTTGTAAAATGTCTGACTAAAATATTTGTACTGTCAGAATAATAATTGGTATGGAATGCATGGTCGAAATACACATTCACTTTTGTTCTAATTCTGATTGTTTGTTGATGAGCAGATGGTATGCGATGATAAAATAGGTAGTATTTCATTAATACATTGGGAAAATTTCCTGTTGATGAGATGACATCGTTTACATTACAAATTTGCCGAACATGGCTTTACAGTCCGCCCTTCGCGAAGAGACGGTGCAAACAGTGCCAAAAAATAGTTTTTTTTTTAAAAGGACGATGATTTATGATCCGATAGGCGTTATCACAAGTGTATTCGCGGCCATTGGGGCGACGTAAGAAAAGAAGAAAACAACTGGCCCCAAGAACTTTAAATTATCAGTTAGCATGCACCTTTTCCTTGATGTGTAGAGAATTTACCATTAATTGTTAGAGAAAATTGCATTTAAAATCTTCCATTTCTGTTTTTTTTCATCGTTTGCACAATATGTTCTTTTACTTAGCTAGAAACACATTAGAAATAGTTCCCGCATCATCGTCAAGAACAATAGGGAAGGCTTGAAGTTAATACAATAATCTAAACGGTGTTGTAATTTATGTGAAGACACTTCTAAAATTGCCTGTAGAAATATTGAAGGCAAAAGTTCAACTTTTCGCAAGACTGATGTCTATAAACTTATTCAACGTGTGACAACTCAGCCGGTATTTCGTCGCCTACAGCCCAGCTTTCCCAAGTGACCGATAGAGGCGCTGCTATCGATGTCCGCCAGTGCCGCCTAACGCTTATGCCTGAGAGCCAGACATATGGTAGACTAGCAACAGGAAGAAGAAGGATGTATGGCATGTAATTTTTACCGTACGCCAGGCGAAATACCTCGTGCATGATATCTCCCGCAGCACTGATTAGATGATTCGGCATTTCTAGCTAGGCGTGGGTTCGACATCCGGATATTCAGGAATAATTTTCCGAGATCACCGGGATCATTCGGTATTTTAGGCTGATACCTTGCACAACGAACATGACAGCGAGTAGAATAGACATAAGTGAAGCAAAAACAATATAAATATGTGACTAATTGCATCAATGGACCCTGCAATTAGCAATACCAAATAATTAGGTCGTTGAACCCTCATTTTCCGGATGTCGAACGCAAGATAGAGCATACGCCTGATAGTAGGTATACCTAGTCTAGACTATAGGATCGTTATCTCACAAAGTCCCTAGCCGTGGCCCGTGGCGTTTGGCCCATCAGTTGAAAAACTGCTTTGCATAACCGAAGCACGGCCCATTTAGTGTAAGGCGGTAACAAGGGCGGTAAGGCGCAGGTAACACTGCCACCTGGTGTCCATACGTTGAACCCCTAGTTACCGCAAGTGCTGCCACCTACGGCACAAACCGCCCAGCCTCGAATCCACTAGCTGCACATAACACAGGCACCAGACAGTAGCGACAGATGCCACCGCTAGATGTCACTGGTTGTATAGCGCGCTGGCCGTGGCCTGTGTTATGGGCAGCTGGTGGAAATCGGGCTCGGCAGTTCAGGGCATAGGTGGCGCTGCTTGCATGAGGTAAAGGTTCTAAATGCCACCGATGGATGTCTCTGCACATCTAATCAGCTGATTGTCACCGGGTATTTGCAAACAATAAAGCATTTCCAGGCGATAGTTGTAGGATATTGAAGCCTGAAGGACTTGCAGTTGATTATTTGTGACTGTGAGAGCGGCAGGAACAGTGAGATGAAAGTTGTGCATTGTGCAATGTGCAAGGAGTTGGGAACAATTATCGGTGAGTTATGAGCTGTGAGGTCAAGACTGTATTTTGCAGTGGAGAGGCTGCTTCAGTGACGTTCCAGCATCGGCGAATTGTCCAGTGACTCGAGTGTCATGAATTAGGCGAACAGGGAGAGAGAGAGAGAGAGAGAGAGAGAGAGAGAGAGAGAGAGAGAGAGAGAGAGGGGGCCGAAGGGAGATGGGATAATCGGTTATGTGTCTGTCACCTTTGTCATGCTTTTGTCGGTATCTGGCACTGCGAACGGTTTGTGCGTGTTTTCATGCTGCTTGCAGCGAATTTGACAGCGAGTTGTCATGTGATGTCGCTTCTGCATCCGTTTGTTTTAAAGTTCCCGTAGCGCCAGGTATGCCCCGTCCCCAGTGTAGGTATAGCGGCACCACCCCCTCCCCAACCCCTCTTCTGTTGTTATGATTTCGTCAGTCCGTGGCACCGTCCCTCCCTCTCTTGCCCCCCCCCCCCCCACAGCGTGCCCACCCCCTAACTGATCTCCACTCGCTTCCAGACGGCTCAGATCGGCGGCCCAGTCACCGCCCGCGGCCATCAGAGGTCATCACCGGGGTTAATCGGCTTGGCGGGCCGGTCTAGCTGCCAGGGGCCGACTGCCGCCGGCGCCCGCCGCGCCGCCCCGTCCACCACCCGGCCATGCAACACTCATCAATCGGACCCGACCCGAGGCAGATCACCCCCCCCTCCCCCCAGCTACATGGCTGGTCGACTTTCATTTGAAGATGTCCCGCCCTCTTATGAAGAACAATTACTGTGTTTATTGTAGGTATGTTTTAATTGCCAATGTCTCAATAAAATCCGGAGCACGGCTCCAACGACGTGTCTTTGAGTGGTAGACGGTAGTGTCCTGGAAGTCGCGTGGGAACTCCTTTCACCGATAGTCAGACGGTTCGGGAGACTGAGAGACCCGCGTACAGAGCCAAACAGTCCACGGCAGCAGTGGATGTGACGTCACACAGGATGGGCTGACGGCAGAGAGAAGTGGGCGGGGCCTAAATGGCCCCAATCTGAGATCGGCATAAAGCGCTTCTAGGTGCCCCAACGGGTTTACCCTGGTGGCCGAGTGGTTAGCGTGACGTCAGCGTGCATTTTAGACTTTCGAAGGTTTTGGGTTCGAGGCCCGTTTAGAGCGGAAAAATTTATCGTGATCATGGCTGTTTCCGGGTCTCGAACCCAAAACCTTCGAAAGTCTAAAATGCACGCTGACGTCACGCTATCCACTCGGCCACCAGGGTAAACCCGGTGGGGCTCCTAAAAGTGGATTATGCCGATCTCAGTTTTAGGGCCATCTAGGCTCCGCCCACTTTCTATCGTGGCGAATGCCTTGCCGACCGACCGGGCTCGATCTTGAGAACGGAGACTTACTCCAGCCGCAGGTAATGGCAGATTTAGTGTGATTCCTTCGATCAATCCAATTTTCTCCGTTTTGCGAGTCTTGACACTCGTATCAGCCATGCGAGATCTATTATTGCGTCGCCATTGAGCATCACACTTTTTCCCTTCGCATCGTGTTCGGACCACATCATACCACACATCCCATGGTTTTTCGATCTTTATTCGCCAAACATTCAACAATCTTTGTGTTGTGTCAGCTGCTAGCTCAAGCCATGCAGGTCTAAGAGGACGGCCGAGGTTCCGTTATCAGGTCATATTTGTAGAATAAGGCGACAAATCTTGCGACATTGTCTAACGTTTTCAAACGCCTACATTGACTGGCGACATACGCACAAGGAAAACATCAGGAGTACTCAGATCCGAGTCACAAAGAACCTCACTCTACATCGCGACTTTACCAAGAGTCAAATGCAATACAGCGAACAGAGGTGCGCATCACATGCACATGAATCACAGCCATAGTCCCAATGCTCTCGCAGACAGCATGGTGATGACAGCGAAAACATGACACTAGCGAAGTCCACATACGCAGTGGCAGGTAACCGCACAAACGCCACGCTAACCTGAGATAAGCCACAGGGCGACAAAAGACGTCAGTTTAGCACCCGCCGTCAATGAAAATCACTTAGTTACTCAGCACAAGCAGTCGACAAGGTACAGCTGCAGCGAACGCGCAACATGAGAGATATACGACCATACAATGAGTGAGCGATACAAAACACGTTCTCAGATTGAGAAGAGGCGAGCCACGCCACAAAGATCGCTAATCAGTCGTTATTGGGAACCTGTTGTCGACGAATCCGCAACGGTAAGTCTTTTGGTAGCATCGCTGCATCAGATTCAACACAAGTCAAGTCATAGTTACAAACGCTGACTGGCCCAGAACGACTCTGTTCTGGATCAGAAGCACGGAACAGAGGTCCGTCGGTTCGAAACACGCGCACTGACGGACAGTCGAGCCTTGTGGGCAACGGTGCTGCCACCTGTGGCAGCAGTGAGCTCCACCGAGGGCGGCGCCAGCTGCTGGAGGTCGCTCGCCAGTCCCGGTGGCGCCATCTGCAGCGACGGGCGCTCCGCCTCGTTCAGTAGGTCGATCCGCGCGCCGGACTGTACCAGAAGGCGCGCCACCTCCGCCTGCGGGCAAACAAAGGGAGCGAGGGTCGTCAGAAAAGTCTTACGGGCGGCACACAGTGAATCGGTTGGGAGGGGGGGGGGGGTTTAGAACACACTGCACGAAAGAGCCAAGAGGGACGTGAAAATGTTCAAGAAAATATTCAATGTCTGCAGTTAGCGATCTGAAACGTCTCAAAGAATTTATACCAAGGGCTCCAGTCTGTGCTTATGCGAAAGAAACGCTTGCATGATCGGTATGATAATCCTTCCGGCACAGCTTTGTTGAGTATTGATCATCGTGAAAAGAAAACAAGCGTACTATGAATGACGAAAAATAGAAGAAAACTGACGGCAAAGGTCGATACAATTGACAATTGATGGGAGACACGAATTAGATCAGGGACAATTAACGACTAGAAATATGGCACAATACATCTGAAAGTACACGGGACGACAAAATGATAGAAAAAGAAGAAGAAAATGAACAGGTAAGTTGTTACTTGTTCCGAGCACAAATGACGGAACGTGACTAGGTCACCAATCGCCAACGTAAACACGATACGGCTACGCGCATCTGACACAATAGACTTTGATCATTTTACATTTCTATAAGTCACATTAGGTTGTGAATGTGATTAGTGAGATACTGCAGATCCTCGGTGGAGCTGACAAGACATACTCACGTAGCGAGCAGCGTTGGAAGCACGGCGACCGCCGGCGGTGCCAGCAGGACAGGAGCTCCTCCAGTGGTCAGGTTGGAGCTAACTGATGGTGAGTCTCTCTCTGTAGCGGGCCGGATAATCGTCCCCATTTAGCTGAACCTGGTGAGACGAGATTTTTTACAAGGAGTCATCGAAGGATGGGCAGAAGGGAGGGATGGAAAGAGAGAGAGAAGAGAGAGAGAGAGAGAGCGAGAGAGAGAGAGGAGAGGGAGAGAGAGAGAGAGAGAGAGAGAGAGAGAGAGAGAGAGAGAGGAGAGAGAGACAGACAGACAGACAGACAGACAGACAGACAGACAGACAGACAGACAGACAGACAGACAGACAGACAGACAGACAGACAGACAGACAGACAGACAGACAGACGGAGTCGCCGGTACAAATGCACCTTCTACTTCGAGATTAGCCACGGGGTGGTTAAACTTAAAAAGACGGTCACACGGAAACAACGACAAACAGAAGGTCACATATACCAACCACGTGAAATCGATAGTTACGTCAAATAAACGGTCACATACGCCACGACAAATAGTCGGTCATATATCCCACGATGAATAGACGGTGACACATACAACTGCAAATAGACGGTTACACAATCAAATAGACGGCCACACATACCACAACAAAGAGACAGTCTCACATATTGCGGCAAATAAACGGTCACATATACCACGTAGGACGGTAGCACATAGAATATACAGCTACATATTATAAGACGTCATATAGACGGTTACATATAACGCGTCAAATAGATGGTCGGTCACACAGACCACGTGAAATAGACGGTTACATATACCACGTCAAATAGACGGTCCGATACATGCCACGACAAATAGACGGTCATACATACTACGATAGACGGTCACAAAACTGCGTGAAGCTTAAGGATGGCCACGAACCATAAGATATGTTGGATATGAGTGGGTATGAGTGCCCTTAGTCCTATGGTAAAAGATACTGACAGTTAAAACATTTTTGAAAATACGAACTTACGTTTAGATATCTTTGCGCTCCAAGGGGCTCGCTGATTTCCCATTCTCGTTCCTGTCAGCTACCGCCAAGGGCCGGTATAGTACCTACTGTAGTCTGCGGACCGGTAGTGCCGTAGTCCGAGAACTGGTATTACTGTAGTTAGATGACCAGTAATTCTGTAGTCCGAGGACTTGTTGTAGTACTGTAGTTTGACGACCGGTAGTTCTGTAGTCCGATATTTGGTAGTACTGTAGTCCGAGGCCCGTTGTGTCGGAGACCGGGCAGACAGCGGACGGTGGTCCACAGAGTCTGAATCACGCGGACACTGTTGGAGAAGAGAGGAGGGAAAGGTGGCGGCGTGCGGATACAAAATGGAAATGATTTACATTTTACCCGATATCAAATTTTATGAACTTACAATTGCTGGAGTGGTTTAAGGAGCATCGGTGATAAGACAATTTAGACGCGGTTAAAACCACAATATCACACTGCAGACAATCCGAATTATTCTAATAGGATTATGATGGATTCAAACGGCTTATGTTGCCGTTTATATCGAAATTAGTTGATATCGAACCTGCGGACACCTCTGATTATTTTGACCTCGAACCGAACGATACCTCGATGACTTGTATTACTGTTTTTTAGTGTTTGTTGTGTGACTTGGCTGAAGAAGGGAGCCGAAGTGCTCTTGAAAGCTTCCGTTAAAATAATAAAGCTGGTGTCAAAACAACGTTTTGATCTCGTGATCTTTCGTTAGCTGCACAGAACTTGGCCCCGTCGGAATCGAATGCAAAGCAAACCTGTAGATCGAAGCTTTCAGCTGGCAAGAAGCTCAGACTGGCACATTTAAATGTCCGGTCACTTGTGCCATCATTAGACGACGTCAACATTTTACTAATGGATAATGGCATTGATATAATGTGCGTCACAGAAACATGGCTACAGCCAGATTTTGACTCCCGATTCCTGATCTTCCCCGGATACAAGGTAGCCAGAGCTGACCGTCCGGCTGCTGATGGCCGGAGCGTGCGAGGTGGCGGTATCTGCATTTTGTACAGGTCCAATCTGCGCGCGGAGACGCTGAACGTGCCGTCAGCCGGCTCGCCGCTGGAGAGCCTATGGCTGAGCCTGGGCGGCGGCCATTCGGTGGTGATCGGTGCTGTTTATCGGCCTCCAGCCGCCCCCGCTGCCGCCACCGACGACCTGCACGATCAACTGCTTCACCTGCACAGCTTGGGACGGAAGATTTTTGTTCTTGGCGACATGAACTTTGACTTACTGAGTCCGCAGAAGCCTGGAGTGGAGCATTATAAGCAAATGCTACACGATTTTGGCCTCAAGCAAATAGTAACGCGGCCGACAAGACCTTGCCAGACGGAGAACGGCAGTCCGGGAACTCTGATCGACCACATCTTGGTACCAGCTACAGAGGATGGGACTCCGACTGCCATGGTGATTCCAAACAGCTGTAGCGACCATAATCTAATCATTACTCAGATTTCAACTGACCGTCAGAAGCAACCGCGACCCGCGGTCACCATCCGTTCAACGAGATCTCTGTCAGTTGACGATCTCTGCCTTGAGCTGATGTCGGCCGACTGGAGTGGTGTGTTTTACGCCTCAGACATGAATGAGAAGTGGTCCGAGTGGCTGTCAATTTGGTCTCCTATAATTGACAAGCACATGCCGGTGACCGAAGTAAGACCTCGTCACTCCCCCTGTCCTTGGCTTGTCAACAACGCACAGCTGCGCGACTCAATGCGTGCTCGAGACGAGGCGCGAGCGGCCTATCAACGAGACCCATCGCCACAGAACCAAGCGGCATTTCGAGACAGAAGAAACGCTGTTAAGAAAGATTTCCAGCAAGCACGCTCGTCTTTCTTCGCAAGCTCCCTAACAGACTCACGAGGCTCAGCATGGAAGGGTCTGCAACAGTTTTTCCTCTCATCAAAGAAGAACGCCGATCCCGTGGACACCACCAGCCACGAGATGGCAGACCAGCTGAACAACCACTTCGCCAGCTGCGGCCCTCGGGTGGCCGCTGAGACAGAGACTCAGAGAGAGGGACGCACCCCAGATGAACCCCGCCCACGGTGTGTCGTGAGTGGAGCCTTCCGTGTGCGTCCAGCAACACTAACTGAGCTAAGCACTGCACTGAGACAAATGTCAGACTCAAAGGCATCTGGGGATGATGGAATTACTATCCAGATGATTCGTATGACTTTTTCGGTGATTGGTCTCATACTGCTGCATGTTGTCAATTCTTCACTCGGATCCGGTTTGCTGCCTGCTGTCTGGAAAATCGCAAGAGTTCTACCACTCCACAAGTCAGGATCACGCTCCGATCCAAATAATTACAGACCAATATCAATACTACCCACTGTAGCGAAGCTGACTGAGAGAGTGGTGTGCAATCAACTCATGGACTATTTAATGGCTCACCACATTCTCAGTGACCGCCAGTATGGTTTTCGCCCAGGACACTCAACAGAGTGCGCAATGATGCATACTGTCAGCTTTATTGTTCAAAGCTTAGATTTGAAACAAGTCACTTGCTTGGCGACAGTAGATACGTCCAAAGCCTTTGATAGCGTCCCCCATCACCGTCTCCTAAATAAGCTTGGCTGGTATGGGGTTGACACGCATTGGTTTCAAGATTGGTTAAGCGGTCGCAAACAGAGAGTTCATGAAGGTTCTCTTGCCCATGTAACCCACGGTGTGGTGCAAGGGTCCTTGCTCGGACCTGTACTCTACTTGCTGTACGCAAATGACTTTGCAGAGTACATAAGCGATGCTGAAGTCGTCATGTACGCAGATGACGTCCAGTTTCTGCATGCTCACTCCAGTGCCGACCTAGCTACTCTGCAGGCGCGGGTGGCGAACACCCTCAGTGAAGCGCAGTCCTGGTTCGTCAACAATAGTCTTAAAATTAATCCGAAGAAAACAGAAATCATATTGTTTAAGACACGCCAGCGTCGTCAGATTGAAGAGTTCTCTGTTGACTTAGACAGTGTTATCTTGCGTCCTTCCCCTTCAGCAAGAATTCTAGGGTTGGACATTGACGAACACTTATCATGGAAAGCGCAAGTTTCTCTTGTAGTGAAACGGTGCTATGCAACACTTCATGGGCTATCAAAATTCTGTCGTGGTCTATCAGCTGAAGTTAAAACATTTCTGATAGAGGCGCTTATTTTTCCGCACATTTTATACTGTTTGAGCGTCTGGGGTGGATGTGGTATCACCCAGAAGCGTCGCATTCAGCGTGTGATTAATCATTGTGCCCGTATCATCTTCTGCAGCCGGAAGTCAGAGCATGTCTCACCACTCCTGGCATCGCTTGGTTGGTCCACCATTGACGATTTGATAAGCAAGAGAGACATGTCGTTCATCAGCAGACTGATGAGCCACCAACATGCACCACAGATCCTACAAGAGTCGCTTGTTTACCGGCACGATGTATCTGATAGAGGTACCCGTTCTACTTCAGCTGGCCTTCTACAATTGCCCCGCGTGCGTACGGAACTCGCAAAGCGTTTCTTCAACTACCGTGCAACGGCCCACTGGAACGCCAGTCGTAACGGGTAGCCGTGTGTGACTAATGACTATGCATGCATGCATTCATGATGTGTAATGGGCAATGTTAAATGTAGTATTTGTGTTTACAAATCCGTACATGCGCGGTCTGAAAAGCCATCACATGGAGACCGTACGCAAATAAATACAAAATACAAACGTTTTATACATTAACCCTCGCATGTGTAGGGGGGGTCGGATGGACCCCCCATGGTTTTTCGCGAATAACTCGCGTAAAAAGCGGCCGATCGCGACGAAACTTTCAGTACCCTCGCATTGATCAATTTTACACCTACCCTGAAAATTTCATGACCCTGACCCAAATGACCTTTGACCTGTGACCTCTTTTCCGAGACCATGTTTGGCCGGAATCGCGATTTCGAGTATGTCGGCTCGCACTAGCCGCGTGTTTGCAAGCTTTTCGTGGTTTCAAACGTTCCAACATGTGATTTGATGTTACTCCCGTGTGTGTCAAGGTCACCTGAAGGTCAGGTCAGGTCATTGACCTTTGGTGACCTTGGGTGACCTCGGGTCACTTTTTCGAGTTTTACATGTTTCTAGGCTAGTTTTTGGAGCTGAATTCGAATTTAGCAACCATTTGAACATTTACGAAGTAGTTTTGGTGACTTCGTAACATGTTACGAAGCTGTCAGAGGCGGTTGATACGTACTACGAATACCCGTCACGACGCCTACTGGTTGACCTGACCTGACCTGACCCGACCTGGTCTAAATGCTTCAAGACATCATCTGTGATCAAAACTAACACGATATTCGTGATCAGCACCCCGAAAAACCCCTTAGCAGCCACACTTTACGACTTTCTAACAGGTCCCGATTTTCCCGACTTTGGGTCATTGACCTGACCTGGAAGGTCAACCAATGACCTAGGACCTTAAAATTGGGTATCATCGGCTTCCTCTCGTCACGGGCAACACGCTCGTTTTTTCCGCGAAGCTCTAGCTCGATCAGGGGCCAAACGGCAAGGGGGGTCCAACCGACCCCCCCCCCCCCCTACACATTAGAAGCTGGCAAACGCCGCACACATGCGAGGGTTAACTATGTCCCAGCTGAACAACAACATTTACAACTCCAATCTTGGCTAGACCTACAAAATTTCGAATTGTAATCCCTCTCACCGCCCCGTTTCGAAGTGGCCGGTTGGTGCCGCTCTGCTGTCTGCTGTCTCGGTCCGCTGCTGCTGTTCTGGTGCGATCAAGAGACAAGACGGCTGTGGCGGCCCCCACCAAACACTGCTGTGCCGACACCAGCGAGGGCATGTCCTGCCTGTGAAAAAGGACAACTATCATTCTAAGTACATAACATTGGCCAACGACCGTGCGGCAAAAGTACACGGGCTATGGCTGTGGGGGGGATGGGGGGGGAGGGGTCATGAGACAAACCATTTTATTGACTTGATAGAACGGGGCAGCTAACCAAAACTTAAATGATGAAAAGTTAAAGATAATTAGGGTGATATTACACTCAACCAATACATTCAATGCAAATACAAATGCGTCATAAGCCAGCCTTTCAAGGGCAGAAAGCGTATGGGTGGATACTTCCATTTCGCGTCTAGCTAAACGCGGCTATGGCTGACCGGACGCGTCTAGCTGGACGGCGGCTGCGTCCATCTTGCGACAGCTAACTTTAGACGCGTCTAGCTTGAAAGTCTCCGTCCAACAGTTAGACGCCAACTTGAACGTCTGCTCAGTTAGACGCCAGTTGGACGCCAGTGGAACTGTGGAAGTCTCCACCAACATGGTGAAGGCACCAACATGGTGGATCACCGAAAATGTTATGCTGCATTTCGTATCCTATCATCCACCAGCGTCCCTCACCGTCTCCCGTTATCCACCAGCGTCACCGACCAGCACACGCTCCGACTCCACCGTCCCAGCCACCCACCGCCCGGCCCGGCCACCAGACACTCGCTCCCCTCGCCTCTCCAGCGGCCACTGCCTGCCGGTCCGACCCGACACAGCCTCAGGGCATGGCTCGGAGCGCAGCAGGGGCGGCGCCAGGTCACAGAGGACGGGGTGGCAGGGGCGTCGTCAGGTCACAGAGGACGGGGGGAGCAATCAGCAAGGGCGGCGTTAGGTTAGAAAGGACGGGGTTCAAAATGGAGAGGACAAGGATCGTAGAGGCAGTGTAAGATGAGTATAGCCTACATCTACAAGTCCGTAGCGTTAAGCGCCAATCTGAGCTTAGCGGGTTTTGGACCAAAAAACACCAAATACTGAGCCTATATTCAGACCAAGTTTATTAGACAGGATGCTTATGCTGATCCACGTCCTAAAATGTGATTTCATTGTAGGTATCACCATTATAGAAGGCAGACGATAGAAGTTAGGACGTTTGAGGAGGCCTAGATATGGCCTTGGCGGAGGCAGAATGCCGGTCCACTCCCACTTTATCAAAGTCTAATAAGATTTCCTCCTAATCAAAGTAAATATACAGACTTGAACAATGGCAAAGAAAAGCTTCACGAATGGTTTTGATTGGCAAGTAAATCGCTTGTCACTTGCCAGTCAGTAAAGTTGGAAACAAATGCTCTAAAACAACCTTTAAAACCATGGTCATCAGTTACCATGGTGGGCTCGGACCTCGTGGTTACCGCTGCCACCCTGGCTGCCACTGCAGTCGGCGCCTTTATGCTGCCTTCCCATTGGCTGGAAGCCACAGTTGAGTGTTGGTATCCTAGCAACCGCCGGTGATGCGGCAAGGCACTTGGGCTAGCGAGGACCCACGTAACACAGTCACACACTGTTACGATTTCATTTCCCTGGAGGAACACCGCACCGTTGTGCAAAGAGGAACATACCTACACGGACAAGCTTAATCACAACGTCAGACATATAGGCCCACAACACCCAACAAGAGGCAAACATGGCATTGCTAAATTTATTTATCTGCCTGTTCGTGATATTCATTTTGAGGGAAAAACTGGCTGAAGGAGGAAGTTCCTTCCGACGAGAGAACATCACATACCTACACCGGGGACCCAGCCACCACCGCTTTGGTGCCCTCAAAGATGACCTGTGCGGTCAAATGTGAAGCGCAAGAGTCGGGTGTGTGTGGAGGATTCACGTACCACACGAACGGTACTTGTCAGCTGTACAACACGGGAGGTGAGTTGACCAGCAAGGCAACTTTGGAGAATAATTATATCTCCAATCTTTCGTACCTTTGCGTGCCTTCAATCACTAATGAAATATTATATGATTATTTTTCAAACACAAACAAATACTTTTAACTTCATTGTATGCAAGGAAAGATAGATAGATAGATAGATAGTTTATTAAGACCCTCCATTGACATGGTTTTTATGGTGTCTACGTCAATGACAAATAAACAGACATTGTAAAAACGCTTAGGCAAGACAGGTGCTACATAAAAAAATGACACACTGGCATAAAACAGTGAATATAAAACACATGTGAGAACCGTGCCTATACCTATATGACAAGTGACAGCTGACTTCCTGTGGCTATTCCACGCACTCGCCGCACGATAAAGAAAACTTCGGCGGGCAAACTCGGTGCGGACCCGGGGCAGCTGCAGCCGGCCGTCGGACACGGCGCGGGTGCTGCGGGATGACACATCGGCTCGCAGTGCGAACTGTTGGCGCAGAAGTTCAGGAGTGATAGATGAGTCGATGATGCGAGTGACGTTTGCGAGGTCACGCTCGGCGATCAACTCGTCTACGGTGGGCCACCCCAGTTCCCGTAGCGCCGCAGTCACGTGATCGCGCCGTCTAAGACCGCTAACAATACGCGCACCAAAGTTAATAGCTTTCTGGATGCGACGCTTCTGTGTGACCGTACAGCTTCCCCACACACTTAAACAGTAACGTATGTGGGGAAATACTAGAGCTTCGATCATCAGCTGTCTTGTGCATCTCGGTAGCTTATGCCGGATCCTGGCCAGGCACACCAGCACGCAAAAGCACTTACGAACAACACCCGTGATGTGTTCATCCCAAATCAGGTGAGAATCGATGACGACCCCCAGAACCCTGACACTGTGGTTTGGTTTAAGCTCATCGTTTCCAAAATGAATCGAGAATGTTGAATCAAGATTTTGACGTCTAGATTTAATTATTATCAGTTCAGTTTTAGCTGGGTTAATTTTCAGACGATTTTGGGTGAACCATCTCAGTCCAACTGAAAGAGAAGTTTCGATGCGGTCCTTCAAGTTTTCCAAGTTTGTATAATAGTCAGTGTCAAGGAACTGGGTGTCGTCAGCGTACATGACTAATTTACCATGTGGAATGTGTTGAGGTAAATCATTGGTGAAAATCAAAAACAAAATCGGCCCCAAAATCGAACCCTGGATCACTCCATGGGACACGTTCATAGCAATTGATCCACCTCTCACACACTGTGTGTGTCCTCTCAGCCAGGCCGAGAACCATCCGGAGTCAATCCCGTACCAACCGAGTTTGTCCAGGAGACGGCCATGCTCAACGCTGTCAAAGGCCTTCGACGTATCAGCGGTGACAAGTGACGTCACGCGGCCACTATCGATGTTCGTCACCGCGTACGTAACAGCATCGAGCAGGGCCGCCTCCGTGGACAAACCCGGCCGGAACCCGTACTGCTGGGGACACAGGATGTGGTGCTCGCTTAAATACGTCACTAGCTGGGAGCAAACAACTCTTTCACACAGCTTGGCGACAACAGGCAACACTGATATGGGTCTGTAATTGTTTGGGTCGCTAATGTCACCCTTCTTGTGAAGCGCAGTCACAGTGGCGGCCTTCCATGACACAGGTACGTCACAACTAACAATAGAACTGTTGACTAGCGCCAGAAGCTTGGGGCCTTGGGGAAATAACTACATGAAAAGACATCGGCTGCTAAGCGGTGTAACCCAGGCTTATAATCACATTTTTCTAACTTCTTGTCTCTCCTTTCCCCATTCTGGCCTCTGTAGTCTTTTCCATTCCATCTTCACTCTGGCTGCACATTTCTGGCCTGAAACGTTACCATCATGCCGCATTTTTCACAGATGAACTTCGTTCGGAGGACACCAGCTTGGGGCAGCAAACCTTCCGGAAAGTTCATCTGATTACTGGTAGGTACTTTGGTACCTGTCAAGTATTAGCATTACATGTACCTACTGGTAAAATAGGTATCGGCATGCCAGGCCTTGGTTAGGGAAAATAGGAAAGTGTTTACGCAGTGTACGTACCTTGTAAGTTGTATAATATACTATTTGATTGTTTCTATTTCAAGAAACTTATTCAATTTAACCCTCGCCCTGGCAGGGCATTTTTCATAACACGGCCTGGCAGGGGGGGGGGGGTCGATGCGACCCCCCCTCGCGATTGGCTCCTATGGCACCTAGAAACACCAAATTTGGTAGGTAGGTGGGCCCCCTGGAGTTCACGCCCCTGTGCAAATTTGGTTGCTCTAGGTCAGTATTTAGGGGGGGTTTGGGGGGTATAAATGTAAAAATTTCGCTAAAAACAGGTCAAAAGTTTTTCGCTTATAACTTTTGATCTTTTGATCTAATTAAGATAGAGCAAAAAGAAAAGCGCCAGTGAACTCAGCACGTCAAGGCGCGTCGAATGATATACTTTTTAGCTTGCTTAAGTGTACTTAAAGTTTTTCTTAAATTTTAAGTAAACTTAAATTAGTAAATTAAGTTCCAGTTAACCAATTGCATCATATCGCATATCATTCGATTCGGCTGATCGCCAGGAACACAATAATACCATTTTTAAGCTCTAGCGTCATTATGTGCCAAGTTATTGCCAAAAACGTCATTTGACCTCAGTTGACCTCATTTGACCTGACCCATGGATAAGTACACCAAACAAAGAAGCACCAAGTGACCTGCTGTTAAGTACTGTGGTTTCAAAGCACAAAAGTGATAGAACGAAGCGGATATCTCCAGTATTTTGCGAATTTAGTATTTTCCCATAGGCTTAACATTACGACGTAATGACCTCTAACTGACCTCAGGTCAGTGACCTAAAAAAACCCGAACTGTATGTTATACAACTCGGTGAACTTAGCACATCCTGAAAGTTTGAAGGAAATCAGTCCAAAACTGTTAGTTGGACAGGTGCAAAAAGAAAATTGAAATTTGACCATGACCTTGTACCGGTTTTTCTAACCTGGTGACCTGACCCAAGGTCACCCGGACCTGAAATTTTCAGGTCGTATGTAAAAAGGTTGCCCCATAGGCTGTGCCAAATTTGGCGGCGCTGCGCGCCGCCGTTTTTACGCTATCTTCGAAAAACCTTAGGGGGGTCGCATCGACCCCTGCCAGGGCGAGGGTTAAAGCTGTCAACTTCCAGTAGGACATCTGAAGCCGAACGAACGTTTTGTGCTCTAATCATTGACTAATCGAGAACTATCGAAACAAAAACTCGACGAGGGAGGCCAAAAGCGTCCGTCGGGCCTAGAGAATGGGATGATGGTTGATTTTATGTTGGACGATGACTTTATTTCCATGGTGGTTGTTCTTTGCAGAGAGCTCTACCGTGTCATGCGCCTGTCCGGCCGACTTCAGCCGCTGTGCCGGCCGCTGTCTGATCCGACCCCCTCAGGAGCTCAACTTCACCGAAGCTAAAGCCGCCTGCGTCTCGCTGGGCGCCCACCTGGCCGTGCCCCGCTCTGCAGAGGAGAACCAATGCGTTCTGACCATGGCGGCTGGAGTGAACATCTGGATCGGACTATCGGAGCATAGCGAGGACGGACTGTTCGTGGCAGAGGACGGAGGAGAGCCAGTGACCCTGGGCAGCCCCTTCTGGAGTACCGGAGAGCCCAACTCTGCTCTCTCAGCTGATAACTGCGTGCAGATCTGGTCTGCGAGTCAGGCTTGGGACGACACTTACTGCAGTGCGCAGATGGCATTCGTGTGTCAGCTCCCGGCCTGGTACAAACCCGAGTGTCACTGAGCTTCAACTTATCTTAACCCGCGCCCCGTTGGGCTCTGCCGAGCAACGCGCCCTGTTGGGGGGGGGGCATTTTGCCCCCCCCCCCCAAAACGGCGCGCGCAGCGCCGCCAAATTTTCAGTACCTTCCCGGGCATCAATTTGACACCTGCACACCAAATTTCAAGTCTTAGGTCATCTTAGGTCAGGAGTTATTGAGGTCAAACTGAGGTCATGTTCGAGCAAAAATGAGCAAAAAACATGTATTAATCTTGAAACGCTCACCAAATCTACAGTTATCAAGCAATTTCAAAGTTCTTTATATGGTCTAGTAGACAAAAAGCGGCGCTACAAAACTGCTATCTCGAATTTTTAAAATTTTGGGTTTTTGACCCCCAAAATTCAAAAAATTGATTTTTTTTGAAAACTTAAAAAAATCAAAATTTTCCGATTTTCGAAAAAAACCACAGGGGAGGGGACAAAATGGCCCCCCAACGGGGCGAGGATTAACAAATTGGATAACATATTACGACGAAACAATTACTGCCTTCATTTACAATTTTGCTACTGTTTTCCACTCACAAACGCTGCCCTCCGTGGACAGCAGCAGCAGCAGTGAAACGTCACCCGTGGTGTGACATCATCACCCATGACGTAATGGAAATCCAGTTGTTACCAAGGCCCCACATGCGCAGTACACGGTGTCCACACATCTGTCCAGTTGCGAATAGTCGGCGATACCTTGGCAACAAGTCGGCGCACGTAGCGACATGTCGGCGGCGACTCGGCGACTGTTTGGCGATCATGTTCGTTTATTTTAAGTTCGGCGAACGGCCACGAAATTTTCATTTTTCATGAAATATTCGTGGCGGTTGTGACGAACCGTAAAAGTCGCGCTGTGGACACCGACTGGTCTGCGAAATGCCAAGACCGTGGAAGAAAGATCCCGAATCGATCCGCTACATAGGGTGACTTGCATATTCGTGCGCATTCGTGTCCCAAAATTCGGCAGTGTAACAAGGGCTTTACAAGACGCCGGGCAGAATTTCTCCAGCGGTGGCGTCCAGGCTAGGTGTGCAGCAAAATAGACTTTATTTTTCCCTCGGTCGGCGCCGCGGATGCCGCCGTAAAAAATACGACCGGCATCGTGAGGCGGGGTATGGAGGAGATTGCCGGGCTTTAAAGTTTGACAAAATAGGAAAGGTTAAGTGGCGTGGTCAGTTTGAAATGCAGTGTAATGATAGTTATCGAGGGCGAGCCACACAATGATGCGACGTTTCGTTTCATTAATGCGGTAGTTACGTTGAGCTTTGTTATTGGTCATATTTGGCCATAATTTACGCGTGTCGGAAATGATGTGCCTCATCCTCTTGAAAGAGAATTTGTAATATAAGCAAAGAAGTAATTTATGGCAGCGGTTGACCGTGCGTGTTTACACATACCGTTGATGCAGATTTATTCGACTTCAGCCAACATTTTCCTACAGGCCTATTTCACAGCAGTTTGCGGATCTCATTACCTTTGTTGACAGTCGACGCCTTAGGAACGCTGTAACGTAGCCGACATTTAGATGATGTATTAGTTATGGTGCAACGAATGCTCAATGCAGGGGGTGGCAATATTGCGAACATTACACTGCGGGGTGTCTGCACTCTGCAGTGACTACCTCCGAGGGGGTCCGCAAAGTCGCGAACCACTGCTTTAACCAAAACGAGGCGCCAGCGGTCGCACTGGAAACTCATAAATAAGACGGAACTTACCGGTGGTAAAATAAAGAAATATAATATATTTCCGTACCTATGTAGGTACATAGACCTAGGTGTACAGAGGTCTATGATACTGTTAACCCGGCAGGCTGTGGGCCTCCCGGCCACCTTCCGCGCGGTGGGGGGGGGGGGGGGCATTTTTTGCCCCCCCCGTATCTCCGAAACTTCTGGACGGATCCGGAAAATTCAAACGGCGTTCGAAAGCCCTGTCAAATTTGTCACCGATGACGTCACAGGTCAGGTCAAAGATAAAATGTTTCACCGTTCACGGGGCTTCTAGGGAAAGCGCTATAACACCGAATAAAACGCATTTTGTCGAAAATCAGCGATAAGGCGTCAGTTGTCTAGTACACATGTTGCTATTAGAGGTCACTGGTCATACCAGGTCAGGTCACAGGTCAGGTCACCAAAGGTCACCAAGGGTCACCACATGAACCCAACATTACTAAGGTTATGCGATGCATGTTTTATAGCCAGTTTTTCATTTCCAACTCAATGGTGTTGGTTATAAGACCATCAGGTACGGTTTAGATCACTTTCTGGTGGAGGTCAGGTCAAGGCAGGTCAAAAAGGTCAAATTTTTAAAGTTGATATTTTTGCATAAAATGGGTATTGATTCGATGCAGCTCGTCACGGGGAGTTCAATGGTGGTCTCAGTTTTGCGATACAAGGTCTAGAATTGCTAAAAGTTGAGTTCAAGAATTTGACGTCATCAATTTTTAACAGTTTTTTCGCTATAACTTGGCGAAAAAAGAAGTATCGATCTCAAATTTGGTATGTAAATAGAAGGTGGTAGGGACTATCACAATATTCCGTTTTTTTTAAATTCAAAAAACTTTTTGGATTTTTCGGCTATTATATTTAAAAAATCTATTTTTTGATTTTTGGGGGTCAAAATCCAAAAAATTAGAAAAACCGAAATAGCGGTTTTGTAGTGCATTTAATTTCACACCTTTTATGTCTGAAATATTTTTCTGTATCTCTAAATCTGTAGGCCTGACAGCTCTTCCCGCGAAACCTTTTTTTTGGGTCGAAAATGGCAGAAATGACGTCACTCTGACGCCATTAGCGGCCAACCTATCATAGCCTTTGGAAACATTTTTGGTCACCATGTGCGCTAGCTACTCCCGGGAGGGTACTGAAAGTTTGGTGACGATCGGCGCAGCGGTTCTCGAGATATATCGAAAAAACTAAAGGGGGGCAAAAAATGCCCCCCCACCGCCTGGAAGGTTAAGGCTTGGCTACGCTTTTTCTGCGTGCGTTTTTTGCAGGTTTGCGTTTTTTTGCGTACGTAATATCGTTCTAGAAAAAGGTTATAAATAATATCATTTTTACATTAGTTAGTTACAAAAGTTAATATTAATCTTATAAATAGCAACTAAAATTCAATGTAAAAAGCAGCACAAAAACGTTATGTCGTTTATTTTTTAGAACGATATTATACAAAACCCGCAAACCCGCAAAAAACGCACGCAGAAAACGCATAGTGTAGCCAGGCCTTTACCTAAAGCAATGCCCACCACAGCAATGCACGTTCGCCGCATAGAAGTTTATAATGTATGCATTTATTTAAACAGTAGGGAAAAGACTCAGTGTAAAAAGTGACACATATGGTTACTGGTCTGGCTTGGCCTTTGTTGTGGGTATTTCACCGAATGGCTAGGGAGACTGAACATGGCCCTTCCCCTCCTGCAGTGAGAGAGAGAGAGAGAGAGAGAGAGAGAGAGAGAGAGAGAGAGAGAGAGAGAGAGAGAGAGAGAGAGAGAGAGAGAGAGAGAGAGAGAGAGAGAGAGAGAGAGAGAGAGAGAGAGAGAGAGAGAGAGAGAGAGAAAGAGAGAGATGGGGAGGGAGAGAGAGAGAGAGTGAGAGAGATAGAGAGGGAGAGAGAGAGAGAGTCAGACAGACAGACAGACAGACAGACAGACAGACAGACAGACAGACAGACAGACAGACAGACAGACAGACAGAGAGACAGAGAGGGAGAGACAGAGAGACAGAGAGGGAGGGAGGCAATTTCGTCTCATTCCATGTAACTCCTACACCTGTAGTACACCTGTACACCTATATACAGTATACACCTGTATACCTCTACCTACAGGGTGTCCCATAAGTTCGTTCTCACCTAAATTTTACGTTTATAGGCTCTCTTGCTTAAAGGCACGCTGAAATTGGTTCGTAACTGAGCTTACGTGGTTGCCATGGCTGGTAGCAATATGCTCCACAGTAACTAAGTTCTGTAGACAAAATAGTTTTTGCTAGAGAGCCCGCTTCCTACAAAGACGGGTAACGCCGCAACATTAAGGTCTCCGATACGGGTACGTCTCGGTATTTAGCCAGCACGTGACCATTCTCGACGATTGAGGGTGATTGAGGCCTACCAGTCTGTAGCCAATGTCCATCGCTAACTGGACGCACAGTTAGCAAGTGACGCCGATGATTTATCGGGAGTCAATCACTGCAAGTTTATTCTCTTTCCAGTCAGCCCTCAGGAGTGAGCCATGTGGCCAAAACTGTGTGGCGCCAAAGTGGCCATCAAAAAGGTCAAAGGGCTAGAAAGTTGGTAAGCAGACTTTTCAGGATGGATTACCAGCTGTCTAAGAGTATTCTTTCGGGGTACATAACTCAACGGTACTTAAGCTTTGCTTACCGGAGGGCTCAAAACAGTCAAAAACGTCTTAAAATGGCCAAACATGAGTTTCGTTATGCCTGAGGCTAAAAAACTAGAGGGCTGAGGACGTCAATCAGGTCATCTGGACTAACTAGTCCACGTTCGAGATGAAACACCCGTCCAAACCCGAAAACAACCCCATAAGGGCGAAGGAGGAGGCCTCCGTTCCGTCCCGTTATGTTCAAGTATGCAAAAGGCCAGGGTCACGGTATTGTGAGGTTATAGGCGTCCAGACGCTGACCAGGTTCCGATTGGTACTCCAGAAACAGTTTTGGGAAGCAGAATGCTTTCCCAAGAACATCTAGGAGGAGTTTCAGCCTTCAAGCTGAGCTCGAACCGCGAGTATGAACACATTCAGTGGCGCAGCCAGGATTTGGTTTCGGGGGGGTCATCGCCTCCAAAGCGGGCCCCCTAGTGTGCGGGCCCCCACCCATTTTTCAGAATCTTTCCATATTTCATACGCATTCTGCTGAGCGGGCCCCCTTTACCTACACGATAACCCTGAGCGAGTTTGAATCGGAAAATTTTGATAGAACAATGGCTCGGTAATCACCCGACCGGTGTTCAATTTCTACGCGAATTGACCATGACA